TACGGTGTTGGAAGCAGTTCAACATGCATGCCCACATCAAGCATTTGCTAACTGGAAAGTTTCATGACACAATCGAGAGAGATTTGACGACTGGAATGACTTAAATATTTCGTGACTGCAGGATTTTAATATTCTTGGTTTATTCGGTAAATTCACGTAAATAGAAAACAAAAAACTAAAATATTTTAAAATTAAAATAATACTCATTTAAAATACTAAAATAAAAATCTATCTTTATATATATAAAAGGCAAATTTGTGATTACGTTTCTGTTCAAAATAAGTAGCGTACTTCCCGACATGCAATAAACTTGACATTTTCCATGTGGGTACTTTCCAGACTATATACCATGCAAAAATTATAAAAAAATATATATATATACTTTTTTAAGGGGGGGGTTGCTCAATAATGCGTATACAGGTAGTCCCCGACTTACGATGGTCCGACTTACGATATATTTCGATCTTACGATGGCGATAGCGACAAAATTGTAAAATATATTTTTTATTTCGCGCAGCAGGCAAACGCAGCAGCGTACTACGAGGTACGATACTGTAACTTTATCATCGCCATCCTCTTCCGACAACTAAGTTAATGTAGCCATCAACAACCTAACATCGTTCAAGTATGCAGACGACGGACAGAATCTTGGCGAGTACAGTACAATATGATACGTTACGATAGTTCAATGCATGTATGATACGTAGCTTTAGCCATTTCATTTTAGGGTTACCACGATACGATACATATGTTCAATGCATGTTAAAAGTTTTTTTTATAGCAGATAGGATTGTTTCCTGAAAAAAACTTTCAATGAAATTGCAGTTCATATGGGTGATCCAAATGTTGTCTTTGTCCCGCATGATGCCAATTGCTAAAAAACACATTTTACAAGATAAAACATTGTGGGTATGAGCAGAGGCTTATCATTCCCCCATGAAATAAACGGCCGTCCAAGTATAGTACCCAGAATTCAATGGCTTATACATAAATTGGTTTGTGCTTTGATCATTTACCTGCAAATGAACCTATGGTGTGTTGCCATCTTCACATTGGTTACAGAATATCCCTCGCTATTAGTGGCTACAAAGAGTTGGTACAACAGTACACAGTTCAAAAATTAAAAGGTTTTTGTGATCCGCAACTTTCAATGTTCACAGTGATGCCTGGGCGAGATTTGAAGCTTTCGTGACTGCAAGGGTCCATACTCTTTGGTTCTATTCGGTAAAGTCACGTAGGTAAAAAATAAAACAAAAATCACGACGTTTCGGCCACAGCACAAGTGGCCTTCATTAGGTGAAGGGACCATGCTGTCACGAAGACAGCGTTGGAATCCAATCCAACGTCGTGGATTCCAACATTTGGATCACCCATATGATTTTTGTTGTTTTATTTTTTACCTACGTGACTTTACCGAATAGAACCAAAGAGTATGCCTGGGCGACTTTGTACTTGAACAGATTATTTGGCAATACTGCGTTGGCTTAATAGATAAGAGTAAACTATTTGATAGATCATTGGGTGTACTTGCTGTTTCATTCATATGTGTATGTGTACTGACTCATTTGTAATTTTGTGGGGCTATTACCTCCTTAGCAATGTACCAGTTTTAATTTTGGTTTAACATACTCTACTGCCCACCACGTAGCTTTGCACAAGTCATATAACAACTTTTTTGTGTACGTGTCACCCATTCCAGCATTATCCTAGCTTATCTCTGCTTATTTTCCAAAACGTGATGAGATCGGGTTCATTCCCGGTGATTTAGTCATAGGCGGTTTAAAATAATTTGGTGTTAAATCCCGTAATTCTGCCACGCTTACATCTCGGGGGCTATAGGTCTAATTTTGCCTCATGTGGAAAGTTGCATATTGGTGATATTTTAACGTGCACCGTTATTAGTTTAGTAATGTATCCATTTCTGGGGGAAAAAATAGTATTGCTTTGCAGGGAGTTTGGTGACCCTACATTGTCGAACTGTGGAATATCCCACCACTTTTGATTTAAAGCTTTTGTGACTGCAGTAATTCATATTCTTAGCTCTTTCGGTAAAGTCACGTTGAAGGGAAACAATCAAATAATTAAAGATATAAAACAATAAAAATTCTCACGTCGTGAGAATTTTTGTTGTTTTATATCTATCTATTATTATTTTATTGTTTCCCTTCAATGTGACTTTACCGAAAGAGCTAAGAATATCCCACCACTTGTTCTTGGCTACTATGAGAGATGATTGCCATGCCACAGTCATATGTGGGAAGGAAATGACTTGAATTTTTGTAAATGCATCAATAATTTAGTTATTAGTGTAATGCTGCTCGTTTTCCAGGGCAGGCTGTATGGGCTATTTAAAATTGTCTATCTGCTTCCAGAAAATACTGTGCATCACCATCTATCTATGCCCTGCTGTGCTTGTAATTACAGCTGAATTCCCCTTTAAGTTGTTTCCTTTGCTCTTTGGTTCTGTTCGGTAAAGTCACGTAGGCAAAAAATAAAACACCAAAAATCACGACGTTTCAGCCACAACAAAAGCGGCCTTCATCAGGTGAAGGGACCAGGCTGTCTCGAGGACAGCGGTGGAGTGAAACACAGCCACGCTCAGACCGCGACCTTTAAGCTGTGTGCGAGGAAACAAGGTGCCTTGACAAAGGAATTAGCATAAAAAAATAGCATTTGATTGGCCGACTTAGCATGGTGAACGGTGTAGAGGTGGTGTACATGCGGGTGAACATGCTGGTTGGCGCGGGGGGGGGGGGGAGTTTACCTATTGATGGTGTGAAAAGGGAATTTGTAAGAGCTGCGAAAGTTTGGGGTACCACTACTTGAAAAATATACTGTACCATTGAAAATTAGTTTAATGTTTGGTTCGATATAGAACATCTTTCCAATGGTTGCTTAATTTGAAACCATCTCGGTTGAAATTGTCTGTGTTTGTAGATCTGAATTGCCTCGTGAACAAATCTCTGATAAAAACCCGTGGGTTTGCAAAGAACCGTGGTATCGGAGAAAATTATATCGTGATCACCCACAGCGTTGTAACAGTGATAAGCTACGGCAGAAGAATTCGTTCTGCCGTGTTTCAAATCTGATTTGTGCTCGCGAATTCGGTCAGCCATGTCGCTTTGTCTCCCCAATATAGCAATCACCGCAGGTACAACTCAATTTGCATCCACCCTAGTTTATCCTTGTTCTTAGTATTTTTACATTTATGGTTGCATTTATTTATTTCCTTAACTACACGGCTCTGCAAAAGGCCCCGCCTGTTCGTAGTGTTTTAGCTTTATGTGTGTCAGGTCGTGTAAATGAACACACTTTTGTAAGGTACATCTGGTTACCATTTTTGTGTAATAATTGTATGTATCTATTTAATCAGGAGATTAAATATATCCATTGAGTTGCATGAAACACCTTGCCTCTTCTGCAAGGATTATTATACTCAACACACAGGGATCAAATCTGCCGTATGAAGTTTGGCCCTTCACAATTAATGAAAACATTACTGTAGGGTGATGGAAAAAAAATATGCATTACCCTTTCTGGCAATAACCCAGGTATGATGTTAAAACACCAAATAGACACCTATTGCAATGCATTAAGTCTGTATAAACCACACATGCTTGTGGTTAAACAAGCAAATAAACATCCTCTGATAATTAATATATACGTTGTTTTGAAACTGATCGGCCTGCACCAGCCTTCTTTATGGCCTTGTCTCACGAGTGTTAGACTAGAGTGCCAAAAGGCCAGCAGCAGAAAGGCAATGCAAATATCAAAGCATTTTAATAGCTCGAATTGAGTAGTTATTACTTTAGGGCAGGGGTGGCCAACCTGTAAAAGACCAATAGCCACAAAGTACCCAGGAGTTATGCAAAGAGCCATCATGGGACCTCCTTTACCAGTACCAAAATATAAGAATAGGTTTTTCCCATTTTTTTCTGGCAACAAAACTGAAACCTTTTTACAAGGATTCATGTCTTCATTAACCACAATACCTGCAGTCAAAATGCAAACAAAAAACATACTCTGATAATATATGCATTGTCCTTAAAACTGATTGGGCCACACCAGAGACAGCATTTTTTTTTAGCCTCGTCTCAAACGATGTTAGACCAGAGGATGCCAAAAGGCGTACAGCTCAAAGACAATGCCACTATCAGAGTAATGAGAGCTCGGGGTGAGCATCTACATCATGGGACCTCCTTTGCCAGTACCAAAATATAAGAATAGGTTTTTCAGGGTCAACCAGATTGCCATGGCCCGGGGCAACCCTGCCCCTGGGCTGACACTCTCCCGCTCCCCCTTGTGGGAGCCTGCATTACACGCTATGCGTGGTGCTCTCGCTATCCCAGCGCTCACCAGGCCCCGCTTGGGCTGGTACTACACCCGCCTACGGGGTGTAACGCGATGACGGTGCATCGCACGCCGTGCTCTGCGAGAGCCGGCCTCACTCTGCAACACGCACGATGCAGTCCGAGATGTAAATACGTCGCACGCCACGGCCCTCCAGGGCCGGCACCACACAGTTACATCCCCAATGTCACTACATTTGCATTCTGACCACAAGTATTGTGGTAAATAAAAAGCAAAGGTGTTAATTGAGTTAATTGGCACTGTAATGGAGACCACGACTCGGATTGGAAATGTGAGTTAAAATCTTTGTTGGTCAACTCGGCTTATCATCTGTGCGTGTAATGTTTGTCCTTTGACAATAGTAACACTCGCGATGGGAATCCAGAACATCCATAACTAGCTCGGGGCCACAAGTGGAAATGGTCCACCATTCCATTTCTTGTTTTGAGCAGAAACATGCTTTCATGTGAAATGCAAAAGTTTTTTCATTAGAAGTAGCCAGCAGGCCCACACAAACAGGCCATCAGGCAAAGTACTTCACCAGGAGAAGGTACTGAGCATAGCTTTGTACGCTTCATAAAAGCCTTTTGAATTGTGCGCCCCTCTGCTATACTGGCCAATGACGGTGCAGCTTTTTGCAGCGCCCTTCCAGCCACTAAACTTGCCCCCACACTGCGCGGCACCTGCCTCTGTTTTCTGGCTGCCGCACCAGTACGTCATCTCCGCGTCTGCCAGTCCCGCTAGGCACATGTACTGATAAGAATAGCCGGGCCTGTGCCGGGGACTTTGGGCGAGCAGTTCACTCTCGTTGCTGTGATGATGCCTCCCCGGGCGTGTACCCAGCTCGCTGTGCTGCTGTGTGTGCTGCTGCTGCCGTGCCGATCGGGGAAACCAGACTGGAGCGGCCATCCTAGTCGTGACGCGCCTTCGTGTGTTGCCGTGCTAAACGTACGTACGTACGTGTGTTTGTGCGTGCGTGCCCTTGAGTCGTGGGGAACGGCTGCCCTCGGGTGCAGCATAGCTAAACAGCTAGTATGAGAGCTTTCTTTTAGTGAGATGCAGTGGTTCGTGTGCTGCACCATGGATTGGATTCCCAGCCATGTACATCAGTGGCAAGTAGTATATGCCCTTTGTCCATGGTATCCCTTGGGTTTATTTATCCTCAACTTACTAACGAGTGCAGTGTATAATCAGCTCTGGATGTGTTGCTGCTGGGCCCCAACACCTCTATGTACCATGCCAGCATTACTAGGTGCTCTAAGGCTAAATGAGAAATCTTTCCCAGGTGTCCGGGAAATTGACCTGGATTGTGCTAAACAAAAGCTGAGCGATCATGTGTCATTCACAGCTTGACAAAAAAACATTCAAATATTAAGTAATAGTCACTGCCTCGTGGCTGGAACAAAATGCTTGTCATTAACCCTGCTATACTTGAATTATTTTTCTTGGTGATACAATGATGGTTGTTACTGACGTTCATAGCCGTTGAAAGGGGGGAAGGGCATCACCCAAATAGATAGAACATAACTGGCACAGCCCTGGGTGTGACGTGTAGCTACGGCTCTTAATAGCAGCGGTGGTGGAAATATCCTCAGCCGTGGTTTATATACCACCACTACCAATTTTTGGTTGAATATAAAAAAAGTCTGATTGTTTACGGAGTAGAAATGTAAAGCCACTCATTGACTTAAAATTTGGGTGCTCAATCTTTAAAGTTTGTTAATTGCATATTCACACAGTTTTGTTTCACGAATGGAATTTATGATACGTAGTCATTCATTTTAAAGCCTTTCAATTATTTTCCTGGTTCCAATTAAACCATAGACAATCCAGCGTCATGTTGTGCAGGGGTAGAATCTCGCATAGATGCAAGCTTTAATAATGATGCTTTGCTGAACAATGAATCCAGTGGGCTTTCTTTAAGGCTATTGAATGCGATGACTTTTAGGACCTTGTGGTCTCAGATTCTATTCAGGAGAGTCCTGCTTCTGTGTTGATTTAAATTGTTTCTGACTAAGCAACGGAATGTATTATTAACAACCGAATTTATATGGAAACGTAATGTTTTCAATTTTATTGTAGCGCTGTAAATGGGCTGCGTGCACTTACCTGCAGTAGCAGACATGGCCCGTCAGGGGCAGTACCTTGCACCGGCAGGGAGGTCGCTACAGTCCCCAGCCCCAAAGCAGGAGGGGGCTGTGGGGTGTTCTGGGATCCCTCGAGACCCCTCCCAATAGGAGGGGGCTGCGGGGTGTCCTAGGATCCCCCGGGACCCCCCCCCTCCCCCGGAACTCTCTGGAATTGGAGGCATGGCCAGAGGCTGACACACCTGGAAGGTGTATAAAGCCGGACCTCTCAACGGGTCCGGGGCCAGTCCAAGACAGAAGCCAGAAGACCAGCTAGCTAGGACCCTGGGAACTCCCGGCCCGACGTCCTTGTAAGGGCTGGGTCCGAGTGGGCCAGTGGTCGGGACCCGTACCTTGGCTGGGTCGGGTCGGCGTAGCCTCCCCTAGGTCACTCGTAGCCGGAGGACTGAGAGCCATAGCCCCATGTTAGGACATGCTAGTCCGGAGGCTGTACCTCCCCAGGTAATAGGTAAAAAGGGCTGTTGCTTTGGTGAAGGCTGGGACTGTTACTGTTAGCGTTTATTGAAATAGAAGCGTTGCCTCTACGAGTCGTCTCCGCTCTCCGTGAACCCACTACATTATTGTAAATAACAAACAAATGTCTTGTCTCTTTGGTTCTTTTGGTAATGTCACGTAGGTATAACATAAATCACAACGTTTCGATCGCAACACAAGCGCTTGTGTTGTTATTTTATACCTACGTGACTTTACCTAAAGAACCAAAGAGTGGATTCCTGCAGTCACGAAAGCTTCAAATCAAGATTGAAATGTTTTGTCATCTCTTATTTTATTTACATCTGTAATTTTTTCATAACGCTTGCATTTCTCCTAGTTTTAATTTTATCTACACCGTTCAACGATCATGCTCCACTGTAACTGTTCAATAACACCTAGTTATTCAGATAATGTAATAGTTTGGTCACTGGTCAACATGTTTCCAATTTTAAGGCTTTGGCATGCATTTCAATGGCAAAGACCATTAGGGGTGGCACCTCCTTTGATAGCCTTGAGCCAATGATGGGAAATTCTCATAAATGTAACCATGGTTGACTTTCCACAAAATGGTACTCGATTTATACATTTTTGGGTGAATAATGAGACGAGTCCACTTCCCAATCGAGACTCGAACTTCCGAGGTGAGTCCAGCACTTCAACTATAGAGCCATCTAGCTTGAGTGGCAAAATATAACTTGATTTTTGTACTGTCTCTCTGGCACTGTCTCTCATGCATCCACAGATGCCTGAATTCCAGAAGCGGACGGTGCACATCCGTGACCCTGAGCGGGTGGAGGCCATAATGTGTGGCCTCATCGAGGGAGGAGCCTCAAAGCTGCAGGTCTGTGTGTCTGTCTGTACAGTGAGGGGAAAAAAGTATTTGATCCCCCGCTGATTTTGTACATTTGCCCACTGACAAAGAAATGATCAGTCTATAATTTTAATGGTAGGTTTATTTGAAACAGTGAGAGACAGAATGACAACAAAAAAATCCAGAAAAACGCATGCCAGAAAATGTTATAAATTGATTTGCATTTTAATGAGGGAAATAAGTATTTGACCCCCTCTCAATCAGAAAGATTTTTGGCTCCCAGGTGTCTTTTATACAGGTAACGAGCTGAGATTAGGAGCACACTCTTAAAGGGAGTGCTCCTCATCTCAGCTTGTTACCTGTATAAAAGACACCTGTCCATAGAAGAAATCAATCAGATTCCAAACTCTCCACCATGGCCAAGACCAAAGAGCTCTCCAAGGATGGCAGGGACAAGATTGTAGACCTACACAAGGCTGGTGAAAAAGGTGACAACAGTTGGTGCGATTATTCGGAAATGGAAGAAACACAAAAGAACTGTCAATCTCCCTCGGCCTGGGGCTCCATGCAAGATCTCACCTCGTGGAGTTGCAATGATCATGAGAACGGTGAGGAATCAGCCCAGAACTACACGGGAGGATCTTGTCAATGATCTCAAGGCAGCTGGGACCATAGTCACCAAGAAAACAATTGGTAACACACTACGCTGTGAAGGACTGAAATCTTCCAGCGCCCGCAAGGTCCCCCTGCTCAAGAAAGCACATATACATGCCCGTCTGAAGTTTGCCAATGAACATCTGAATGATTCAGAGGACAACTAGGTGAAAGTGTTGTGGTCAGATGAGACCAAAATGGAGCTCTTTGGCATCAATTCAACTCGCCGTGTTTGGAGGAGAAGGAATGCTGCCTATGACCCCAAGAACACCATCCCCGCCGTCAAACATGGAGGTGGAAACATTATGCTTTGGGGGTGTTTTTCTGCTGAGGGGACAGGACAACTTCACTGCATCAAAGGGACGATGGATGGGGCCATGTACCGTCAAATCTTGGGTGAGAACCTCCTTTCCTCAGCCAGGGCATTGAAAATGGGTCGTGGATGGGTATTCCAGCATGACAATGACCAAAAACACACGGTCAAGGCAACAAAGGAGTGGCTCAAGAAGAAGCATATTAAGGTCCTGGAGTGGCCTAGCCAGTCTCCAGAACTTAATCCCATAGAAAATCCGTGGAGGGAGCTGAAAGTTCTAGTTGCAAACGTCAGCCTTGAAACCTTAATGACTTGAAGAAGATCTGCAAAGAGGAGTGGGACAAAATCCCTCCTGAGATATGTGCAAACCTGGTGGCCAACTAAAGAAACGTCTGACCTCTGTGGTTGCCAACAAGGGTTTTGCCACCAAGTACTAAGGCATGTTTTGCAGAGGGGTCAAATACTTTTTTCCCTCATTAAAATGCAAATCAATTTATAACATTTTTGACATGAGTTTTTCTGGATTTTTTTGTTATTCTGTCTCTCACTGTTCAAATAAACCTACCATTAAAATTATAGACTGATCATTTCTCTGTCAGTGGGCAAACGTACAAAATCAGCAGGGGATCAAATACTTTTTTCCCTCACTGTATGTATATTTAACTTCTCTCACACCGTACATAGCCAACCGTGCTAATCGGAGGTGTGGGAGGATAAACTAAACGCCAAAAAACTTTTCGAAACAAATTACTTTTAAATCTAGATAATTTAAGTGCACCGCTCCAGTAGCTTCATAATATCGCAACGTCTTCCCAGTCCCGCAGCACCCCACACAATGCAGCACGTCGCACTTTCGTCTCATTTGCACAGCACGTTCCCGGCTATGCTGGTTCCTCATCCTAGCTTCGGCTGTCCACATGAATGTCCGAGCTGCCCCACCCCTGCCACCATTACCCCTTTAGCAAGTTGGGACCGTAGCCATTGCCCTTGGCACACTTTGTTAAAATGGCAGTGGCGATTGCCTGAGATGCAGCACTCTGGAGGCAAGGGTTTGTTAGATCGTGCAAATTTGTGAAATGCGAGTGTAATGACTCTCGGACAACTTCTTGTCTTCTTTATTTATTAATGCACGTCGCGCAGATAACGTGGTCTCGTATCCTACAATTCTTTTGATAGGATAACATACAGATACTTGGGCTAGCACAACACCCAAGTAGCGACGACGCGAAGACAGCGATGATGCCGAGACAGCGACGGCCCAAAGACAACAACGATGTGGAGACAGTCAATCCCGATCCCACAGCAGCCCTGAGCTCCCTCGCCCACGCCTTATATTTCCCCGGCGTGGCCTCGCTCCGCCCCCGGCCACGCCCCCTTTCTCAAATTGTCTCGGCCAATCCCGAACTTCCCCGATGGTACCCTCATGTAATTATCCCTCGTGACCACTTGGCACGCACTGTCCCTACCCCCGCACTGTCTCCACACACGCACTGTCTCTCTCTCCACAGTCCCTACACTAGCATCAACTCAGCTGCAAGGTGGCTAGGAGTTGGCAGGACAGCAAGTGGGTTTGTGAACCTGCCTGTGATGATTTGCATTTTATTAGCTTGTATGCATGAGGTTTCGGTTTCCTTCGACTTGCAAAACGTTCTTAAAGTGGAATTGGTCAAACATCTCAATACATGACCCTATCAATTAAATCTTGAGAGACTGTGAGCCGTCGTCCCTGAATAGATTCAATTATTATAAGTGCCGAGCACTGGCTAGGTGGACTGACTCCAGAAACGGTTTAAGGGGATGGTGACCATCCGTGTCGCTTATCCTACATCAACACGGTTGTGTTGAAGAAAAATTATGCAATGTGCATCTTACATACCGTGTAAGAAAACATGTTTTGTTTACTAAAATGACATAGCAGGATCACGGTTAAGGCGATGGCCCTGTTTCAGAGTGGAAAGATAGGGAAGCCAAAAGCGTTTGACTACTGTGATTGGAGAGAGCATTTTACAATGTGGATTCAAAACGTTCGGCATTTAAAGGCTGTTTGAACTTTGAAATCACTGATTTAACAAATACTTTTCTGTCAGTAATTGTTGGGTAGTAAACCAAAGCATCAAAATGTTCAAACATAATTTATTTTAATGAAATAAATGTCTAATATGAACTTGACAAGGCACGAGGTGATGTGGATTGGGAGTACAACAGATGAAATGCTATTGCAATGAAGCGGATGAGCTCTCATTTTTAACCTCGAAGTCCTTGGGGCAACACCTACAGGGTTGCATATTCAGGTTCGAGAAAAAAAAACAGCGGTTTATTTGTTTCACTTGTACATAGTTAGCTTAATATACGCAAGGCACTTACGCTTGACAGTGCTGAAGCTGTTTTACATTTTAGTGATGGCATTGAATGTTTTTTTTTTGGTGTTTCTTCAAATGAGGTTTCATTTATTTTCTTCTGTCTGCAGATCGTCACAGATTTTGACATGACTTTAACGAGATTTTCGTACAATGGGACACGCTGCCCAACCTGTTACAGTGAGTATATTGGTAGTTTAACACGTAGTAGGCTTTCGCGACCAATATTCATAATAAAGGTTTTTGGGTTAGATCGCGTTTATTTATATATATTATATATATATAAAACCGGGAGCAAGCGAGGGCTTTACCATTCTGGCGAATTGCCCGATGATGCTGGATGTATTTACCAGCGAAACGTCGTACTCAAACTGTTAAATGTTGTGGATTCACTCTTCAACACACCGGTGGGCTAAAGTAGTGAATTATTTGTCTTTTGTCAACGTGACACTTTTTTTTGCTGATTGGCCGTGTCGGGTGGTGGAGGGTTATGACACATTTATAAATAAACGCAATCTAACCCAAAAACCTTTATTATGAGTATATTGGTACTTTAGGCTCACCCTTTGTTTCGTGGGCTCTCGCCTAGTTGTAAATTCAGTTGACTAATGGGTATATTTCTTCCGATGGATGAGGCCAACTTACGGAATGGCAGCCGAAGGTGAGAACACACTCGAGAGAGGTGACTTGTAACGGAGATGGAGCTATGAGATCGATTCTTGTGTAGGATTGCGACGGATTGTGGCATTGCAGGACCATGAGGGGCGGCAACAGGGTGGGTAGATGTACATCCAACTGTGGATAGACTATCTTATATTTTTTAAAGCTATGACTGACTTATAAATTACAACTGGGCATGTGTACATTCTTAGTCTTTCAGTGTTTAGTGCCTTGTTTGGTGCGGTTGTGGCGTCTTCAGTGGAATTGGCCGTGGTGTCTTTATTTTGGAAGCAACATGATTTGGGATCAAACTATTGAGCGTTAGTGTGGAAGGGTGATTTTATTTGCATGCTTGTGTAAGTGTACTCGTCAAAATCTATTTCGTGAAATGGTCTCCCTCGCTTCTTGTCTCACTGCTTCCCTTGATTCCTCACCCCATTCTTTGCAAGAAATCTGATTTGTCATCATGAATATTTCATTTTTATTAAAATAAATGGAATTCACATGAAAGGACATTTTCCCATCGCTGTCTTGGCAGTGTCTTTCATCATGCAGTATCAATGCATATTGGACCAATGCCTTTAATCAAGAAAATTGAGACGGTCAATGGATTACATGGCGATGCGATTCATGTGCCATAAGACACCATCTGCAGAGTAGTGAGGGTTTCTATTTTGAGCTATGGTAGTAAGTATATTATACTCTTTGGTTCTATTCGGTAAAGTCACGTAGGTAAAAAATAAAACAACAAAAAATCACGACGTTTCGGCCACAACACAAGTGGCCTTCATCAGGTGAAGGGACCGGACTGTCCAGAGGACACTCCAACGCTGTTTTATTTTTTACCTACGTGACTTTACCGAATAGAACCAAAGAGTATGGATCCTTGCAGTCACGAAAGCTTTAAATCTAGATTAAGTAAGTATATTGTTAGCATAGCTTCAAATATTCAACTTATGTGCAAGAAAACAATCTTATTAGTTTGTAACAATTTTTTTAATGAATTGTATTCTGAGATTTTTCTCAGGCAACACAAATAACATTATCAGTTTAACACGTAGGCTTTCGCGACCAATATCATCCATAGACGTTTTGTTTTGGGTTAGATCGCGTAAATATGTCATTAAAACCCACCACCACCCAACACGGCCAACTAGTAAGGGTTGTCATGTAAACAAAACATGCCAATTCGTCACTAGTACAGCACACCGGTGTGCTGGAGAGCCAAGCCACAATATTTGCAATCTGAGTACGACGTTTCGCCAGTAATTACAACTAGCTTCATCAGGCGACAGCCAGATTTGTGGATAAGTCCACCTGTTTCGTTCCTTTATATAGAGGCATAGATGTGGTGACCACGCTTCTTCGCTCTTGCACAAAATGTCGTAAATCCTCTAGGGTTAATAAAATGCGCACCACTCTAGCAAGTTAACTTGTCATTCTCGGGATAAACTTACCCTTGCCATACGGAGATTAGAGCTACCCAGTGTCTTGAGCATGGAAACACGATCACTTCTTCGCTATTTGTATTATTTGGCCTTTTAGGTCATGAAGTTTATTGTTTTGGCATTTTTATTTTAAAGGAACTATATTTTTTATTTGCAGACATCATTGAAAGCTGCAAGTCCGTTACAGAAGAGGGAATAAGGCAGGTAAGGGTTTCGTACAGTGTTTAATTATACATCTCTCTCTCGCCTAGTCTGGATAGTGCTTGATGGGCAGCCACTGTACATAAAATAAATGTTTGTAGGCTGCAGAGGGCAGTGCAGGAAAATAATTTTCTGTACTATGCTCCCAACATATGTTCACTGCCTTTACCAAACTAAATTGACCAGTTTAACAAGTAGGCTTTCACGACCAAAATTATCCATAATAAATGTATTTTTCGGGTTAGTGTATAAATATATTTGACCAGTGAGGTCATTTAACCTCCATGACCTGCAGTGTGAGGATGCCCTTAATTGACAAAGGATGTATATTATGTCAATGAGACCAGTTTTTATTAAAATACAAGCCTCAAAGGCAGCTATTGCTGACCCATAACAATGTTCACCTGTAGATCTGAGGGCATCTGAATAGCTTTTCATGCACAGAAAACAGCACTGTCCTATATACTCTTGGAAATGTTGGATACTTTGTAATATTGTGCTTGACTAACGAATAGGCAGGATGTCACGTGAGGCCTGCCTGCTAAGGTCTGGCGTTAAACAGAGAAGACTGGAGAATGCGCGCTGCCACTTGCAGAATTCATAACCATCTGCAAAGCGCCTGCCGTACCGACCAGTTGAGAAACACGTTATCAAGTATTGCGCACGAGTATAAAATATATGTGGGCTGCATAGTATTATGGAAAAAACTCGTAATACCATGCAAGTCAAATAGAAGGTGCTTGCTCATGAAAGCCCATGGGTTCTACCACCAACTTGACTGAATTTTATAAGTCTTGCAAGTTCTTCAAGTTTTTAATTTTGTTCTGTTAAACATCAGTAGGTCATGAGTTCAAATCACATGTATCTGTCAACAAGGCCCATCAGAATGGCAGAATTAACACAATGCATATCACTTTATTGGAATTCAACAGTGGTTGACCCATCAAGAGACTGATGCCTGCCATTGGAATGTGATATTTCCACCACTAGCTTAATATGACTGCTGTAAGTGTATGCAGGGCCAATCTCTCCTGGCAGTAGTGGCCACGCAATCTTCCCCACATGACCCGCCTGTGTTATTTTACAGCTGCATGCCTTAAAAGACAAGTACTACGCCATTGAAATCGACCCAAAGCTGAGTAACGAAGAGAAGCTTCCCTACATGGTCGAGTGGTGAGTTCTGCTGTGTTCAACTGTGGTTTCAGCACTCGGATTGAATACGTGGCAGTTTTATATACCCAATAAATTATCGTGGAGTCTCCAGACTCTTTCAGGAGGGTCCTGCATGAAGATCATTGGACAATTACGTAAAAAAATACGGTTTTGCATGTAGGAACAAACAGAATGACCCAGAGAAAACCCATACATAGCAGCCAATGTTAAAGCCTGTAGCATCATTTTGCGAAAATGTTCTAGAGGGGAAGTATGATGTTCTTCTAATAAGACACTGAAAGATGATGCTTAATCAACCGAGATATTAACAATTTGCTGTTGAGCCCATCTTTGTATTGACTCGGTGTTGAAGCCGTGGGTTCACCTCGTATTGTATGCATGACATCTCTCATGCAGGTGGACCAAGGCACACAACCTGCTGGTGCAGCAGGGCCTCCACAAGGATGAGCTGGAGCATGCTGTGAGAGACTCTGACGTCATGCTCAGGTCTTCAATATTGTCACGTTCATCATCATTAACATGGGTCTCGAACACAAATCACTTTCATGTTCATCATTACCACATGTTATACTGTGCCAAAATAAAAATAAAATTATGAAAAGTAAAACATCATTTGTGTAAAAAAAATAGTCTTGCATTCGGTTTTACACTTAATTTTGGTATATTACATGTCCTACAAGAGCATTTCTCTAACCGGATGTATGAAGGTGCTGCCCCCTAGTGTAGATTTGAGGTCCCTTGAGATTGTTGAAACTCGCTGACCCGCCCATACGGGACATCTGTGAAAAAGAGCTTCTTTGCTCATCGGATTCCTCCAGTCTAAATAAAGATTATGATTTCACAAGTACAGCAAAAGCTCGTCCTGTTACTTTACCATCTGGAATGCTCAATGAACTGCCATCTGTTACAGACGGCAATATAAATCTTCCTTCACGTATCCGGAATAATTGTGTAAATATTCATAATCCGTTGTGAATGCTCAACTTCATTCAGTACTGGATATATCAGGTGACACTTAGGCAAGAGCAACTACATTTTCAGTGCAAAGTTTGTGAGTTCAAATCTCGACTTAAAGCTTTCGTGACTGCAGGAATACATATTCTTGGGTCTTTTGGTAAAGTCACGTAGATAGGTTGTTATTTTTTTTTGAACCTATCTACGTGACTTTACCGAAAGACCCAAGAATATAGTTCAAATCACATTCGGTCAATAACATATGGGCAGACAACAGTGGTTGTCTGAAGAAGAGATTGCCATTTCCACCACTGGCTCAGGGCCACGAATGGAGGTGAGCACCGCCCCATACACTAATTTGAGCTTTGGGGAAACACCGAGTGTTGAGGAAGCACGGCGACCCATAGGAACGTTACACTCTTGGTTACTTCGTTTCCTGCTCTGCTACGTGCAGGGAAGGCTATGTGTGGTTCTTCAACCGCCTGAACGAGCGGCACGTACCCGTGTTCATCTTCTCGGCGGGTGTGGGTGACGTGCTCGAAGAGGTCATTCGCCAGGCAGATGTGTTCCACCCCAACGTTCATGTCGTCTCCAACTACATGGATTTTGACGACGGCGTAAGTTGCCTGCTGCTCCTCTTCCCAACCCGCACGATCATCCGTCTCTCCACAGACAACTCCCCCGGCTGGGCCCTTTATCAGGCCAGAAGTATGCTATTTCAGGCCACAACTTGTTTCCATGGAAATACAAATATGAAAGCTACTTGGGATTGGGCTGCTTACAATTTTAACCAGCAGTTGCATCACCTTTTTTATTCTAAGTTTAAGAATTAAAAGCCAGGTTGAAAAGATTTCCAAAAGACATTAGATTTTTCTGGGAAGTGAGTTCCAAGCCTTAGCTTAATTGCCATATTTCAACCTGCCCCATATCTCGCGCTCAACGCTCCAAAACTCCCATCCAAGCCCTTTTGTTGCCTTTGCGTTCAAACCGAGGAGGAAGCACCTTCGCTGGGTGAGAACGAACCTAGGTGAGGTCAGGTGAGGTGGGTGGAAGTCAGCAATCAATGTTTACAAATAATCACTTTTTGTGAAATGTAATGTATGGCTAGGCTCGTTTAGGTTATGCTAATAAAATATTTCTCTTATTGTGGAGTTGTTCGCGTAAGGTGAAAGTACTACGAGTGAAAATATTAAATCGTGTTGTAATTTGTTATGGCAATAGTTTATTTAGCAACTGGTAGGATGACGTATTGCTGTAATGTTCATTCATTATATTTTGCTTAAATACATGCCACAATGTGCATGTAGGCATAGAAGATTTTTTTTTACTAAGTACGGATGACACTGGTAGAGCATTGGACTTATTGTAAGTGGTTGTGGTTGACTGACTCGTCGTCCATCTTTGCTTGATAAAATAAGTACAGCTCTATCATGGGACCTCCCTTGCCAGTATCAAAATATAAGAATAGGTTTTACCATTTCTTGCAATAAAACAGGTGTTAAGATGTTCAAACACGAAACTGAAACCTTTTGCAAGGAATCATGTCTGGATGATCTGGTTAATGCAGACATGATTCCTTTCCAGAAAGGGTAAAACCTATTCTTATAAGTACAGCTTTGTTGGAATGTAAAGGCGGTCATCCCACACAGAGACTGGTCCCCTGTATCTATGTGACGTCTGTGTCCCTGTGGACGGCAGGGTGTGCTGCGGGGATTCAAGGGAGAGCTGATCCACATCTACAACAAGCGAGAGGGCGCACTGCGCAATGCCGATTACTTCAAGCAACTGCGCAACTACAGCAACGTTCTGCTGCTCGGAGACTCGCTGGGAGACCTGCACATGGCAGACGGAGTGCCCAGGCTGGACAACATGCTCAAGATTGGCTTCCTCAACGACAAGGTGGCCCCACCGAAACTGCTCTCCCTGCGCTTGCCCTACTTGGTTGGAGTTTTTTTACAATTCAGCCCGTGCAAACTGCAGTTCCCCGCGGAATTCCACACGTGCGCCTTCTAGATTTTCGTCGAGTGCTCGGTGCAATCAAAATGTCGTATTCAACTCCTGCTCAGTATCAACTCGGCCTGTATCCTCCAGTCACTTTGTGAAAGAGGTAACATTCGAAGTGTTGTCTGATAACTGACCTGCAATGCCCGATCCATAAATACGAAGGAGACATCACAGCGGTACACTCCGCTGCTCCTGACGCGGTTGTCTGGGCTTGACTACCTGAATGTGAAATTGTAGTTGTTGCTCGGCATCTACATCAGCTATACGAAAGAAGAAAGACTGGCCTCTGCCTTAAAAATATTGAATTACCAGTTACACCAAAGTCAGCAGAACCTATTGCTTGTTTGAGCAAGGTAACTTTAAAAAATTCAGGATTAATACAACACTGGTTTATGGATGGCTGACACCATCACACTTCACCATAACCCAATTATTTTGCTTAATCCAACAAATGTTGATAACTGAACTAAGATTTTTCTTTAGCTTATCCCCTTTGCCACCTTCCTTAGGATGCCCACTGCAGTGCCTTTGTGATACCTTTACTTTTAGCATTTTATTTATCCACAAAATCCTCCCTAAATCTTACTTCTAAATAAAGTTCCCCGTTGGGATATTTGGCAAATTCCTTGTTAAATATTTTTCACACGGGAGGGGGGAAAACCAAAGTACATGGACAAAAGCAAAGCATATGAGGGGCTGTTAAATCCACAGATAAGTTGACAAACTAATCGCTGAAGTGGATGTTTTTATTTAACCTGTTTTCCATCGTGTGCCATGCTTCTTCTGCGAGCAGGTGGAGGAGAGACTGGAGAAGTACATGGAAATGTACGACATTGTCTTGGTGCGAGATGAGACGTTGGAGCTGGCCAATGCCATCCTGCAGAAGATTCTGTAGCCCAAACACCATGGTCCATCAGTTACAGCAAAAAAAAAGTGACTCCACCAGTCCCACCCCAATCCCCATCAACCCCAGCAGCTCTGATCTTTGCTCTTCCCCATTCTTAACCGTTAACTGAATGGCTTCATACTGCATGAGTATGAATCTGTTTCTAGTGTAATCGTGCAAAACCACTGCACTAAAACCACTACGTTTGAATCTCTATCTCGCTTGGCACATGTGCCTGAAAATCTGTGGAGAACATGTTGGCCATTTTCTTTCATTTGAATCTTCCAAATTGTAGAGAAACATCATCATCCACTTTGAGAGTAAATCGTGAACTTGATTATTTTTGATCGATAAAGCGGTCACTTAACATTCATTTTTATTGCAAAAATGCCTTTAATTTGGAAATAGCTATTAATTGATATCCCTACCTATTCAAGCATATTCCAAAGAAGGTAACAACCAATATATTCGGAACAGAAAGAGTTGAAGTAGATTGATACAGGGGGTTCTCATGCAGTGGTTTTACAAAGTAAATGTACACACAGGAAAAAATTGCTATTTTTACAGAAGCGTTCTTTGCAGAGTTAAACCATGTTGTGGATAGTGTTTTCTTATTTAATTTAAGAATATTTGTGAAACGGTAATTGGGCAAACGGCGGTTTGTGCGTGGTGCGAGGGGAAACTGCATGTTTGGCTGTTGTTCCTGTGGGGCAACATCACACAGAAACTCTACATATGGCTGCCCTGGCTCACTGCTTGTGGCCACGTGTGCTATTGATCTCCTGCTTCTACAGAGATCGGTGGCGCACGACATCTGGTGGTATGTGTTGCAAGCACCAAACCGAACCCCTGCTTCGTGTGAGGTTTAATTTTGAGGATAGAATTGCACGTAGGGTGAGGATTACTGCTTTTAAAGGTGACAGTAGTCCTGGTACTGTATTAGGATTGTTCATTGCAAGTGTAGTGTTATGGCTAGAATTGCGTTTAGAATGCACGTTTAGGTTGATAGGGTTCGTTGTACGATTGTTAGGAGAGTGTTAGTTTTGAGGTTAGGGTTAGCATTCAAGTGAGTGTTATGGTTCGTATTAGTACAACACCATGACCAATGCATTTAATGAAAGTGCTTCGTGGAAATGATTTGCGATAAATGGAATACCAAATGTAAGGGTTTGAATCTTGCTACTTGGATGCAGCACCCCACCAAACCTGTCCACCATCACCATTATTTAACTCCCAAGTCAAATGCTTTCCTCTGCTTTTAAGTGCTGTGTGGAGCACTGCGTTTAAGGCAGTATTCTCTTAACGAAGCACAAAGTTACGCTGGCAAATTGACCAAACACCGTGCATGGTTAGCCTTGTGCATTTTTGGGTTTAGTACGCAAAGCAATTTGTTGCCCTCTGTCGTCAGTGCACTCCCGAAATGTGCCACAAAAGGTGCAAGGCACATTTAACTTGTAGCAGTATTGAAGGAAATGTATTTTATCCAGTGCCAGGTGCCTCTGGAATTGCATTAAGATTCAATTGCTTTATTTTTATTGGAATAAATATCTTTGTGCGTTCATAATGTGCTCTGATGCTGATTTGAATCATATACCAACCAGTTGTGAATGTGTGCTGGAAAATGCATAAGTTTTTTGGATATTGGTTGCAAAAGCCTACGTTTAAACAGCAGGGAAAATGATTTCCTTGATTTCCCTGCATGGCACACATTTTTATTGTAATTCAGGTGATGTATGCAATGGTATTGGGAGGAGCGATCTTTTCCAGTCACTAAAATGCAAGCAGTTGAGTTTTAAAAATGAATATGAAATTATTATTTTTACCAGCAAAGGTCCACTGAGCTACATAGCTTTCAGAAGAGACCTGGTCACAAATGGTAATGCATGCTACTCAAACCACTACTCAGGATCCCACTGTCTTGATGTGGTTATATTCAGATACTGTACTATATAAATACACACTGATGAAGCTGGGTGGAGCTGTGTTAAGAGCTATCAACCCACAAACATTTGTGCTTAACTTAGAATCATGGTCAAGGATAACTTGGGCCACAGTATTTCAAAAGTGATCGTCCTGATTAATGTAATCTCAGTTTGGAATTATATATTTCACAATCTCTTAACTTTAAAATTGTTACAATATTTTGGTAGATGGAATGCAATTGTATTGTATGTAGAACATAGGTCGTGCCGTATGTTGCCCACCATGCTATGGGCTTTGGTTTCTGATGTGGTGGCAAGTGGTAATATCTCATTGGCTTAAAATATACATTTTGTCATCTTACACGAGCACGCACATCCAAATGTTTTGGAAGTAATTAGTGTAACATTCACAGCGAACACCTTTGCATAATTTTAAAATGCTTTAAAAAACTCAGCTTTTAATATCTTCCTTTAAAAAAAATTCGTGCAACAAAACCTTGAAAGTTTACATTTGATGCAGTTAGTGTCTTTGATGTTTAAATACAAGTTGTAAAGATTTTTCAAAATGTATATTACAATACATTGGTTCAACATAAGCAACACAATGTGCCGAGCGTAAAAACATAAAAAAAGTAAATAAATCTACGAAAGCAAACACTGTGCTTGCATGTCTGACAATAGCAAGTGACATGCATTTTATTATCACAACACAAACATAAATATGGTTGTTTACTCTGGAGCATCCTATCTGCCAGTCAAAAGGCAGATGCTTACATATGGTTGTGCACACCTGGATCACAAAAGTCATAGGATTGAGACATACCCACTTGCAAGGCAATGTGGGAGTCTGCAGTCGGCTGAACGTCAAAAGTAACTTGCCGACCCACTTCTACTGGACATCTGTGAAAAAGCTTCACAGCTCATTGGATTCTGACAGTCTAAATACAGATTCTGGTTCTGACAGGTTACCCATGCAACCAGAAAGAACGATCGAAGGTAAAAATTACTCAATTGACCAAACATTTTAAGCAGGACCCTCTTAAATAATACTGAGGCTTGACAGGGTAAAAAAATGGCATTACAATGTTACATTAACCTTCTCAAGGGCCTGTGTGCAAGTGAGACTGGTAGCAGACATTTCTTTGGTATTTGGTGCTTTGACCAAAAATGTGCACAGACATAAACAAGAAATGCCAGGGTAATTCATCTATGCCACGTCATCTAATTCAATTTTAATTTAAAATGTGTAATTGTGCCTGCTGTAGATGTAATACGGATCCTACACACAATCCATTAGAACTAACAAAAATGTCACAATACAAGTCTGTTTTCCTGTAACACGTGTTTTCATAACGAAAACTGTATATAACTATGAATTTCAGGAACACTTTATAAAACGGATGCAAATTGGATATAACGCGATTGAGTGAACAGAGCTATGTCGCGCAAGTAGGAATGCGCAGTTGTACAGCTTGCCTTGGTGGACCATCACGCAAGGCGGGACGCTGATGGCTGCTTCGCGATGCTACCCAGGCACCTCAGTCTTTGTTCAGCCTGCATATGCATCTCACGCATTATCATGGGCTGTGCTTTACCCTATTTATTATAACGTGATTTTTTTCCATAACGAGGTATTCTTCAGGAACGCAGCTACCGTGTTATAGGAGAACAGACTACAGATCATGTATTTATCTCAAAACCAGTGTTTCCTTGATAAGCAGTGTGGTTCGTGCTCATCTTCATTCTTTCCACAGGGCGGCACCTGTCGACTGTCTACAAAATCGTACTCATTTTATAAACCCCACAGGAACAAGTATTTTGAGTCGAACCCCATCCGAGATTTGAACTCGGTTGTAAAGTGTACACTTACCATCGCAACACCAACCCGGTTTTGGCACAAATTGAAATGTATAATCGTAAAAGCCTGCCCAAAAGCAATATGGATTACATATTTATATTACCAAAGTGGCTCCTCCAAATTAGCTTCAATGACTGGATGGCAGTTATTGCGATTGCATGGTTGACGACGTGCAGCAAAGCCACTTTTATTCAGTGGTGCTGCGGTGAAGCCGCTCGACTCACAATCGCAAGGTGGATGCCAAATGCGAGAAATTATGTATTTTGATTAGTGTGCTGCTACTACTATTGTTACTCCTGCTATTATCGATTGACTCATGCAGCTAGCGAGGGATGCTTGGTTTAGTAATGTATGTTATGTATGTCGCGATTGTTAACTTTCAATCACATTTCTTATGATCACTGTTACATTGTTTTGATAGCATTATTTTAGTCATTTATAGAAAGGTTTAGTTCAGCCCGATTTTTTTATGTAGTATAGTTAGACTTAACATTTTAATCTAAATTGTATTTATGATTGTTATTATGATCTAACATCAAAATGGGATTTTTTTTGCACAGTTTAGTACGCAGCATAAACAAATGGTGCTTTTTCTGGACGATTGTATTGTTTTTGTAGGGGATGTCTCAATTTGTGTACAGTAAATTATAAATGTATCTTGTAATTTTATTGTTTGTTGCGGTTGCACCCGAATCAAGAGCCGAATGGCTCACAGGGTTATTCCAAATAAATGAAACTGAAAACAGTTAAGGCATCTGGAATCAATAACGAGGTTGTGCCATGGAACAGCATTGACCACAATGATATCGGTCTAATTAAATCAGCTGTACCCAAATACATAAGTGGTTTGAAGCAATGAACATTGCTTGAAGAACCACAATTACAAAAAATAGCACCTGTAAATATTTGTTTAAAAGACTGCACAGTTAAAAAGAAAAAAAATACGCTTGGTTGATATCATAACACAACATTGTAAAATAGCAAATTATGGCTTTGGTGAACTGCATTGCAAGAATATAAACTCTAAGAGCTCACCTACACATTCCTTCAAAACATTCCTTTAAGGTCTATGTTGCAGTTCAGACCTGGGCTATCCAATTATTTACGCAATTAATTAACAGTTTGATTACTCAACGAATCAAATAACATGAAAATAGTTGAAACAAAGCCTCACCTGTTCCCACGTGTTGCTTGGTATCATCAGCTGTGTCATGCTGGGCGTGGCTTGCAGGGGGTTTCCTGCCTTTAGAAGGCAACATGTGGGGCTGGCTGCCACTTAAAGGGGCCCATGTAATTAGCAACAAAAAATAGCCCATTACAATTTTTAGTAGATTCATTGACTTGATTGAATAATTTTTCCAGCTCTAGTGCAGATTCATATTTACCCATGATGCATGTAACATCCTTGGAACATTGATATTTTTAATCTTCAAGAATTCTGAAATGTTACCATTTTCAAACTTGTTCATAAATCAAAGTGCTCACATGGAATACCCAAGTTCAGAAAACAACATTACGCATTCTCATTTATAATAAAAAATATTTCTATAAAACAATGAAATATGCCTTTTCATGAAATGCCAAACAGGAAAACAATGATGAACCTCATTTGCCAGATCTTTACATGGTCCAACCCAAAAATCAATCGAGTCATTAGCTGTCAAAACCTGTGTTATTTCCCACATTTCCATCTCACGTTTTACTTGCATATACCAATGCTGTGAGCACCGACTAAGGTTGGCATGGCACACGAGAGAGTGATTGGAGCCAGCACCACAAACGGATGGTTTTGTCTTCCAAGCAATGATGTTCACACACCACACCAGGTATTGCTGTAAGGCTGAGTCAACCTTGGGAAGGTATAGGACAAGCTCATACCCCAGTTGCTACTGATGTGTATGGTGAGGAATCAAAAAATTGCTGGGTTTGTAGCACAATGCCAAACCATTGTGCCACTGCTCCCCATAACACACGCACACGAGTATGGGACCCTGCGCAAATCAGCGCACATAACCATGAACAGTCTCAGAGCCCGCAGAGGCAAGGTTGTAAGGGGACGGAGGCTTAGATGGGGGTTGGGGCGCCTGGATTGCCACTTCGCAGAGGATGCAGGGGGCAGCTCACAGCTCGTCGTGTGCCAGCTCCTCGTCCCGCTTCAGCTTGAGCTCCGTGGGGCTGATGAAGCCATCACCGTCGCGGTCCTGGTTCTTGAACATTTCGGAGATGAGGGTCTCGGCCTCCTGGCCTGGAGCCAGACGACCGACTCCCGTTGCCACCTGGCTTTTGATGAAGGTCGAGAACTGAGTGCGAAACAGACGGGAGAGTGTCACGGCAACTACATTACACATTTCAATCAGTACATCGAGATTAATGTCAAAAGGTCACCATGGCCAAAGCTGTTAATCGCACCACACCACGGAATTATTTCCTTCCCACACATTTCACAAGTGTACCGAAAGGCATTACAGAAAGTTGAAACTAATCTGGAATTTGCCTGCTTTAACAATTGCTGCTAGATACCTTTAGTCCAAAAGGCCCATAGGCTGATGGACCTTAAACCACACCCTACCTCCAAGATATGCTGTTACACTCTGGTTTTAGGTCTTCCCCTGCCAACACTCGAGTGATGTCCTTGGTAAATACAAGTTTTTGGCAGTTGGGGGGTGACGTGGTCATCTTGTATATGTGTAATGAGCTACTGCAGCGCAGTCACCTTTGTTGTAAGCTCAAGGTTCGGAGAGATTACAAGAAAGGTGAATAGGCTACACTAGCACACAGCTCCTGCACAAGATGACCACAATTACAATTTTCCGATCATTCGCCCACTTTCTAGCACAGTACAGGGGTTTGTGCACATTACTCGAGAACGTGACAGCATCGGCTATGGCTAACTGCACACTGAAGCCCATACCTGTCACCCGGTTCTGACTGGAGTAAAACTTATTGATATTTAACTCAAGTCTGCATCCCGTTCCCCTCCGCCTCTATCTCGCCTGCCCCTATTTGCTGGAGAGAGAGAGGGGGGGGGGGGGGGGCAGCACCTCCTGAAGTGCAATGAGGCCATCCTGGTCGGCATCGAACTGCTGGAAGAGCAGCGGCGGCGCGCGCTCCTTCCACACGAACATATACCCGTCTGGGAAGCCCTCCTCCGCCCGCAGGAGCTCAATGTCGAAGAGCAGCACTGCGCTACCCGGCACCTCGCCCTCTGGGGGGGGGGGGGAGGGGGGCACAGAGCACCCGCACACGCCTTATGTAAGCTTCTATCAAAGTAAAACATAGAAATTAGCGTCGATATAGCAGCGTTTAGGACTGTTCTGCATTGCAAAATTTAGCCCATTCCATTAAAAAAAATGTTTTACTCAATTGTATTCGTGATTTATGCTTTGAGTAGTGTGTTTTTACTCCGTATAAGAATGAACGAATTTGCAACCAATCGTTGGCAATCGTTTCACGCAGCTGTAACCGCTCTCTCCATCTTACCAATGCCTTTCTCGCCGAACGCCAGATGCGGGGGGATGGTCAGGAAGCGCTTTTCGCTCACGCACATCCCCTTCAATCCCACCTCCAGCCCTGGGATGAGCTGCCCACTGCCCATCTTGGCCTCGTACGTCCAGCCGGTCTTTCGGCTGCAAACAGTGCTACTGTTAAGGACGGCCCACTAGACGTAGCGATTTATTGAGCTGCACAGAGAGATTACCAAACTATCCTTGATGAAAGCATCTCTTGGTGAATCTGGCATGCACACAATATCTACACGTAAAAACATACATACTTACACATATGCACACAATCGCATGTGTACACACACAAAAGCACATCTTCAGCCATGCATATACACACAATGTAGAGACCCAAATATGTGCATGCACACATCACACATTCGCACACTCTTACCTGGAATAGAGTGCATGCCATCCGGCAGGGTTGTGTTGTAAATCACTCACACACAAACTCATATACACATACACTCACACAACAACAACCGGCGTTCACCAATAAATGGCAGTGATGTCACCACAGTGCTTGTGCCAAGCTCAGTGCACTTTGAGGGCACGTGAAGTCGCAAATGCTCGTTAAACAGTAGGGCATGGAAGAGACCCAGGTCTCATGGATTAGAAGACTGGCAGATGTACCACCTGTGCCCCGTATTGTGCCAATTTGCTATATTTTAGCCGCCCGACACTCCGCTCGTTGTTGTGAGCGTCTCTGCTCCACCTTCCATTATTGCCCAGTAGCATCCTTCACGAGCCTCCCCCACAACAACAAAGTTCCCCCATATAGCCTTAACAGATTGTTAGGGAAAATACTGTTAGCGAGTAGCACCTATGAAGGCCGGCATGGCACGAGGGGGTGAGTGGCCAGCACCACGCCCGCCCGCCTTTGTATTCCCAATGTAGATGTTTATGCACTGCACCAGGTTCTCATTTGAGGCTGAGTCGACCTTGGGGAGGCCCAGGACTAGTTCAGATAATCGTCACTGGCATTGGGCGTGAGTGGGAATTGAACTCAGGTTTCTTGCCAGGTTTCTTCACACACGCTCTCTCTCTCTCCCACCTGGAGTAGAGCGGCGTGCCATCCAGGAGGGTGGTGTTGTAGTGCATGCTGATAAGATCCCCGAGCTGTACGCGGTGCGCACACTCGTGCGGGCTGGAGTAGGTCTCCACATCGACACTGTCAGCAGGGTTGTGCAGGTCCACCATGTGCACGTTCACCAACAACACGGCCGAGCCTGGAATCTTACCCGCTGGGACACGGGGGGGAGTGGGGGGGGGCAGTCATGGACGTCACGGGGTTCTGAGCGGTGGAAGTACACGGGCATTGGCAAGGTTACTATTGAACATTAATTCTTGTTTGAGGACTGGTAACGTGGGGTTTTTATACGCAATACAAAGGTGCCAGGAGGATTAAAATAACATTGAGTTGGCACTGCTAATATGCTGGGTTTGAATTCAGGTAAATTTAGTTGAAGGTGCTGGGTGGCTTAGGGGCTAATATCAAGTCAAAACGCTGAGCAGACACTGCTGATATCCTGGGTTTGAATTTGGGCCATGGGTTGTCAGGTGTAGATAGTGCTTGTTCACCAATTAAAGTGCAAAAACCCCTCATCGTACAATTTGGCTTCACTTTTGATTTAGTTAATTCCAGCTCCAAGAATAGAAAACGTGGTTTTATTGACAAGCAGTTAACCAGTTTACAGACCAAAAAAATTGTGTGCTCCCAGTGGGAATGAAGGAGCCCATTTGAAATGACTTCAGAAGTAGTTCTAGAATATGTAGAATGTCAGCATCTGGAGCATTCTCCGACAACGGAATGTAAATCAAAATTTTGTCATGTCATTACGCAATGCTGGAAGCACAATTGTTTTCGATTTGGGAGAAAAAAGAAATAACAAACTAATCCCATATTGAGTATTTTCAAAGTAATGTACGATTTTGTTTTGAATGATCATACATCAACTTGATTTAACTTTAGAAATAACAGCACTATAAAATAAAAGTATGCTTTGGAGTGCAATCTAAATGCATTGGCTATATTGCATTAACCCAAGCTGATGACACGTAAACACGTGTGTCTGCATGTGTGTGCATACAAGCGACATGTGCACCTGTGTGTGTATGATTGAGTGTATGTGTGTAGAGGAGAGAAATACGCGGCACACACAGATAAGCGGGTGCAACTGAGGGCAAACAGGTGTGTGGTTTAAAAACATGAGGTTTGCACAGACAAACCGACAGTAATTAGGGGGAGAAGCGGGTGCAACCGAAGTCGAACAAGTGCTACGCTGTGACCGGAGGTTGGCACCTAGGAGACGGGAGATGGGGGGGGGGTGATGATAAGGGATTAATGGGACAACTGGCACCGGCCTGGCGGCAGCTTAAATGGAAACACGTGAGGACTCGGAATGAGCAAGGGGATATAAGCGGGAATGTTTGCGAGCGAGGAGAGTTGTTGCCGGGGAACCAAGAGTGAAGACATCTTGCCGCTGCCGCTCCAGCCGTCAACGGGACCTCAACCCTCACGCCGTCGCCAGGCGGGTGTTGGCTGAACCCCCCGCCCGGGGACAGACGGGTGAGCGGGTCTGAGGGAGCGTAGGTGGGGGCAGCGGTGGAGATGCAGAGTCGCTGAGTGCGAAGATGCTGTGTGCGGAGTCGCTGAGTGCGAAGACCCTGTGTGCGGAGTCGCTGAGTGCGAAAACAGTGTGTGCGGAGTCGCTGAGAGCAGAGCTGCTGAGTGCAGGATAAGTGAGGTGCAGAAGAGATAAGAGCGGGGAGAAGTTAAGTATCTGTGACCGTACAGATCGTTATAGGAGTGCCTATAACTGGCGCAAGAACAGGTGAATAAAGTGTAAGCAGGTGACTTGTTACAACGTGTCGGTGTGAGTGATTTTTGAAGCCACTACACGTGTATTAATGTCTGCATACATGATGTGTGTGTTTATGTGTGGGGCACAGTGGTACAGTCTTTAGTATGCTGCGCCATGACCCCAGAAGCCTGAGTTCCATTCATGGTGACAATATCTAAATTTGTCCTGGACCTATGTTTGCTCGACTCTGCCTTAGATGATTACCTTTGAGTGGCAACATCGGCTGGAAAGACAAAGGCAGCTGTACGTGCTACTGGCCACACTACTCCTTTTCACAAGCAGCACTTGCCAAGCCTGTCTGTAAAGGCTAGATGGGAGATAAATGTATTTGTGTCTGTGTATGCATGAATGCCGGCTCTCACCAATGCCAGCCTCCCCGTAGCCAAGGTGGGGTGGGATGGTGAGCAGGCGCCTCTCCCCAATGCAGGTACCTATCAGCCCCTCCTCCATGCCCGCAATGATGAAGCCCTTGCCCAGGTACGTGTCATACGTATGGTTCCACATTTGCCTGCACACAGTCACACACGGCGATCGTGGGGAGCAGTGGTGTTAGTTGTCCGCGCACCGCTCTATAATCCTGTCATCTGAGGATTGAGTCCTGGCCATGACTCACAACATGACACCAGTGGGCAATTTATGTATTTTCCTGGAGTGGGTCAACTCAGCCTGAGTATGATGGGTTACAGCTACAGCCAAAAGGACAGCTGGTAGGCTGGCTGGCAGGTAGGCACAAGTGTGGTTAGACTTGCAGCTCAGCTGCTTGAATGGCAGGTTGATAGATAATCGGCTGCTTGGTGGGTTTGCTGGTGGGCTGTAAGGCTGATAGTATGGTGGGCTTTTTGAGCTGGCTTGCGAGCTGAATGGTGGGCTGATGATCAGACTGGTGAGCTGGCTGGTGGCGAATGGACTGGATAGTGGGCTGGTGGGGCTGGTAGATGGGTATGTTTCTGCAGGGCTGGCAGTGGGGTTGGCATGTGGGTTGTTGGGTAGATGGCAGGCAGGTTGGGATGTGGCCTTATAAATATGCTGGTAAATGGACATGTTAATAGTTCATGGAAAACTGGGCTGCTAAATAGGCAGGTATTTGGGGTTTGGGTGGTCTGGAGAGCTGGTTGCCGTGTGGCCTGCGAGCTGGAGTTGATGGTTCCCTGGTCGATGGATACATTGTCAGGTGGACTGTTGAGTAAGCTAGCAGGTGGGCACTGGCAGGTGGGCACTGCATGGGCTGCTGGGTAGGCAAGTGGATGGGTGGACTGCTGATCCAACTAACTTGTGGGCTGATTTCTAGGTGAGCTGGTGTGGTTGTTAGTAGGCTGATGGGAGGTGTGCTGGATGACCTGGTGAGTGGGCGGGCAGTGAGGTTAATAGGTCAGCTGGCGAGTGGACTGCTAAGTGGACTGTTGGGTGAACTATCAGCTGATGGAATGTCGGGTGTGCTAGCTGACATGTGGGCAAAAGACCAACACGCACTCACGTGCTATCAAAGATAGTGCCATCGAGCAGTGAGCCGTTGTAGTGATAGCGCACAAAGTCCCCGCTAGCAGCACGGCGCCTGCAGGGCTCCGGAACCAGGTAGGAGTCCACAGTGACGGAGTCGCGGGGGTTGTGCAGGTCCACGAGATGCAACGTGAACACCAGCGTAGCATTAGAGGGGACCGTATCACCTACATCGCAAAGCCACAATACATGATCATTATCTATTTTAATGAGCAATGCTTTGAGTTTTAATCAAGGGCTGTTGTCCAAATTCAAACCCAGCAGTATCTCAGTCAAGCCAGTTCAACACTATGACCTCTAAGCCTGATCTGGATCCCGATCAATGGCGTGCATTGCACTCTTTTTCATGGATTATTATTTTAACATTTTGTAACATCTGGTTACCCATGGTTTTGCCATGCTTGAAACTGGCTCTCTAAGCCTAAGGCATTAACAATTCATGCAAAAGAAAATTCATCCAAATGGCACTTAGATTAGAGCACTCTACTCACAACTGGAAGGTCACAAGTTCAAATTCAGGTCAGGGGATGACATCCTATCATTGTCACTATGGGGTCAATAAAATTAACATCTCTTTTGGGGATGTAGGTGTGCTATGGAGAAACTGTCCATCGCACCATAGTAATGTGTGATTTCCTCCATCACCTCTGAACCACCAAAGGAGATACCCACTGAGCCACACGTGGAAGAGCAGGGAGACCCCATGACTTTTGAGCCACAGTCAGTGCCCAAACTTGAGCCACGACAAGCAATATTTTATCAGCACTTTGCGAGAAGACCACTCACCGGAGCCCTCTTCGGCATAGCCAAGTGAGGGTGGGATGGTGATCACTCGCACCTCCCCAACACAAGCTCCGAGGAGGCCAGTGTCCATCCCTTGGATGAGCCAGCCCATGCCCACGTACGTGTTGTAAGTTCCATTGAGGCTGCGGCTTAACAGACAAAAAAAACACAACACAAAGATAGACAAAAGGGGCAAGTACTGTCAGCAAGCACACACTAAGTTCAGCATGGCATATCAGGAGGTGGTGTGGCCAGCACTAGGCTTGGACATCTGCCTCTCTAGTGACCATGTTTACACCTGCAACAGTTACTCAGTTGACCTAAGAGATGCTCAGAAAAGCTTTAGTACAATTTACCACAAATGTGCATGGCCAGCAATCGAACCCAGGTAACATGAATCATAGCATATAGCTTAAACCAAAGTACATACTCAACAAGTGAGTTATTGCATAGCAGAGTGTTATGAAGTGTAGTGAGGTGTGCTACAGCACGAAAGGGACTTGGCATTGAACACATGTACACACACTTGTACTGTATTTAAACATACAGGAAATATAAAACACGTAAAAACACACTAGATATGTAATGATTCAACTTACAGCAATTCGATTATTTCTCACTATACAGGATCACAAACCAAGGATCCATTCTTTTCTATCTTGATTGTAAAGTTGTTTGCATTGTCCATATCATGTTCTTTCTCATTCATTTAATTCATCATACAACATTTTAGCATGTTAATGGAATATCATTTCCACAAATCGCTAATGTATTTTTACATCATGCACGATTCGATACAAGTGGTGAAAGAATCAACTTCATCCATTGATCAATAAATGCCTAATACACACAATCACAGGGCGACGCGTCATTTCAGACCACAGTGTGGCTAGCCATCGCGTGGGGGACACCTGCTGGAGACGAATGTGCCATCGAGCAGCGTGCAGTTGTAGTGGTAGCGCACGTAGTCGGACATCTCCACCGTGCGGCTGCAGTTGCCAGGTCCTCGGCGCACTGTGCGCACCTGCACCTCGTCAGACAGGCTCCACACGTCCAGCAGGAGCAGCTCCAGGTGCAGTGTCGAGCCCAGGGGAGCCACGTCCTCTGGTACACGCGTACACAGTATCGTGCAGTTAACCTCCTCACTGTCAGCCATTCTCTATATTGCTAGATGAAGGCCTCCTCAAGCCATACCCAAGATGTGGCCATCTCCCAATGTCTCTCGCAATGAAATGATCCATCCAGCTTCTACACACGAGCTGATCTTAGTGCTCCCTCTACATGATGAATGTGCTCTCCTTTGGCTGCCACTATGGCATTAGCCTTGTACACTGGCCATCGTCCCTTCTTGCGATGTGTCCTGCCCATGATCACTTACTTTTCTGAACAGTCAATATGGTGCATCTAACTTGCACATGTTTTTAATCCATGTGTTCCTCTTCCAGTCTCTCGGTGTAATTTCAAGCATGTATCTCTCCATCCATTGTGTATGTTATCCTTTTGTGCCATGTTCTTTGTCAATGACCATGTATCTGATCCACGTACAATATAGCAGGTAATATACACCGATGAAAAGTGTTTCTTTGGGTACCCTGGTATGTTGCTTTTCATTCCAGTACTAGATTAACTACCCCGGCTTCGCTCGGGACTTGGATTCTTGTCTTGGATTAATACACGGCCTCCGCGGAGGGTGGGGGATGCGTGACATTAGCAGGCACACTGCGTAACGCTTCGGCATGCGGGTGACATCACAGATGTGAAAGATGTGACGTCACCGCTCACTTGCCGTGCAAAATATATGCATTATTGCGCCCCCCCTAAATACAAAAGTCTATTTTTATACTTTTTGCATTGTGTACAGTCTGGAAGCTACTCAAATGCCAAATTTCAAGTTTGTTGCATGTTTGGAAGTATGGTAAACATTTAGAAAAGACACACATTCACAAATGTCCCTTTCATATATATCCATTATTGCGACCCCCCCCCCCCAAAAAAAAATCTAAAAGTCTATTTTTACACTTTTTGCATTGCGTACAGCTTGGAAACTACGCCCACCACATGCCAAATTTCAAATTTGTTGCATGTCGGGAAATATGCTAAACATTTCGAACAGACACATTCACAAATTTACCTTTTATATATACAGTAAAACCCTGGATTGCGAGCATACTTCGTTTCGGAAACGTGTTTGTAATCCAAAGCACTCGTACATCAGTTGTGATCACGTGACGCTCGGCAGACAAAGCGTATACGTACTATTCGTATTGCAAGGCCTCGGTCGTTTATCAAATTAATATTTATTTAAAAAATTTGCTCGTCTTGCAAAACACTCGCAGACCAAGTTACTTGCAATCTAAGGTTTTACTATATAAGAAAGTTCAGTTTTCCAACAGCACTCCTAGTGGCGATTTGGGGAGATGCTATTGGTAGATCCTATTGTACACGGTTAGCCATGGAAAGTACTCGTGTTAACCACATGGCTATTCACAAACACAAATATCATTAATTTTATACCAATTCGGTGCCATCTCTCATGTCTGAGAGGTGACACAGAATGATACGAGTCATAGATGATATGATGTATTTTGTGCTTCTGTAAAACCACTTCTTGTGATTCCTTATGATTGGATAAGGGTGGGAAATATAAATAATGTACGGCCACTTCTGGGTTACACCTCTTATGCAAATACACGTGCAGATAATCCTCTTATTTGCCAAGAGTAAAACATTTCCACTTGCAAAAACCTTACAGCGAGAATTTCGAAGGCTACAATTTTCCATCTCGTGACATCGCCCTTGACAGCAAACTTGGTTCATAACTCGAGTAAAAATAGGAGAAGGGTGCATGAACGAATGAGCAGGATGAGGAGCGGAGGTGAGCGAGGCTCACTGAATGCTGGCGCTGCTTGCACGAGGTCTGGGGGAAGCACTGCGAGGCGGCGCTCAGAGACGCACATTCCCAGCAGTGCCTGCTCCAGCCAGGCAGGCAGTTCTCCAGCACCCAGCGCCACCGTCTCCGGCCAAGGGCCCTTAGAGCTGCACTCAACGCAATGGGAGATCGGCAACAACAAAAAAACCCCGCAAATACGCACTCAGCAACAGCCACATCAAAGAGCAAAGGCGGCGGCGGCGACGACGACGGATGGCATTCGACACTAGGTGACGGTGATGGCAGCTGTGTACTTTGTAATCATGAAGATGGGTAACATGGGGACAAGACAGAGACCAAGGTGCTTTAAATGTAGAAGTGAAGGCTTTCAAGCGGAACAAAGGGAGAGGCAAACTCATGTGATAGCAATGGTGGTGAATGTATGTTTTACAGGAGGTCACAAACCCAGTGTAGTTTGCCGATGCACCACCTGTACTACCAAATCTGTAAACTGCATCTGTTGGTGTGCAGGATCCTTCCTGATAAACCAAAATTATTTGTATAGATTCACGTTCCGTTCTGCGCTCATTATTCTATGGGCATCAACTGACAGTTAAAATACTGGTGGCTCTAGTACCAATTTTTATTTTAGTTTTGTGCTTATCCGACTGAAGGATATAAAATTAATTTATTAACAGAAGCATCATAACTTTATTAACTATTTTGAAATTCAAACAATGTCTTAATAATGCAAATCAACCACTGCATAATTTTCACTATCTCAGCGATGCTTAGTTGAACACCCAGTGGAACGTGAGGGTAATTGCAAGCTACTGCAGATTTCTATTTCTGCTGTTATATTGCAGTTGGCAATACCATATCCATGTACGTGTCACACATCTGGTTTAGGAAGCACTGTAGCTCCGCGCGCACACACACTCGGTGGCATTACAGTGCAGTCATGTGGTGCGATGTAATTGGCCGCACGTCCAATTTTTCAGTCTGTTGTGCGTAGGCACAAACATCAGGAACGCACACACACACACAAAAAGCACCGTATATACAGTTCAGGAATTCCTGATTGAAGAGCAAAGTGTTTCCATGCTCAAATGAGCACTGGGTGGTGCTCATTTCCACGAGTGGAAATTCCTCTTTTCTATGGTAGGGGTGAGTCCATTTAGGCTAAGTGGTACTCAATCTATCGATCCCAAAAGAATGATGATGGGTTGAGACATCCCCACAACTGGAATTTAAACTCACAACTGCGAATTGGGCACTCTGCCAAAATGACACGTGGCTGGGAGGCTTGGTCCTAAACGCACTGTGGTTTGGTGCATACAGTATATTTTCTGCAGAACCGAGTGAATTAAAGGTGCACAATATCGAAAACGTGTCTGAAACATGGTAAGTCCACAACATTACCCTACATGTTGAGAACCACACATCTGCAGCCATCAACCATGAGTAAAACTCTGAATGTGTTCACACGAGCATGGTGTGTCTGCCAGTGGCGTAGTGGTAAAAAAAAGAATAGTGTAAACTGGGCCATATTCCCAAAATGAGCATGGGTAAATTCCTTTACTTGCATTTAGACAGTCATGTCAACCGGTTACTACTTTGAGGGGCAACTCTGGAGAAGCACTAGATACTCTCCAGCAATCTGCTGTCACAATTCAAATGTACCTTGAGTACTCAGATCCCTACTGGACATGTGAAAAAGAGCTTCATAGCTCATCGGATTTCTCTCCCAGTCGAAATAAAGATTATGTGTATGGGTGCATGGCAACAACCAGGGCAGGTGGTATAAGCCAAGAGTCAGTCTCGTTGCTGAAGCAAGGCTAGGACAATGCTCATATCCACCAGTGGCCCCGACTGAACCAGTGGTGTAATCTCCACATTCCCTCCCAGTGTGTTTCGCTAATTGTCAGAGAGGGGCCCACTTTCGCCAACAAGACACCACTGTGCGAGGGCCGCCACGCATTTGAAACCATTGGGTGTAACAGCACGATGATGGATACGGAGCGTTTTCCCATTTGTGTATAGTCCGGAGGCCGCACGTCAGGGGGCAGAACTCAAGGCCACCAGGGGCTGCTGCCAGTGCCACAAAGAACACCGTTTCCAACCCGAATAAAACGGAGTTACCAATCACGTGGCAAAGTTGGTCGGGCGATGTCTACGGTGGACGGCGAAGAGGGGGGCGAGCTAAGTGTTAGATACCATCGATGGCATACACGAGGTCGTCGGTTCGAACCCGGCACCGACGTCTGCACATTTGGAGTTTGCATGGGTGAATTTCTCAACGGGTCCTCTCCCGTTTCCCCCACCACCCCCTCCAAACATTTAGACTCAACACCACGCGTCGAGAGCATTTGACCGCTATAAAATAATAATAGTCCACATGATAAGCCACTTTCATTGCGCTCATCATTTGCGGCTAGGTCGCTTCTATGGAGAACACACACGCACGCACGCGCACACGCAACAAACAAAACAAAACCAACAATCGTTTAACGCTTACCTGGAATCGATCGTGGTCCCGTCCGCCAGGCTGCCGTTGCAGTGAAAGCGCACGAGGTCACCGGGCGCCGCGCGACGCACGCACGGCTCGGGTGGCTGCCCCAGGGCCCTCACCGAGAAGCCGCCGCCGGCGTCCGCGGGCCCCGGCGCCCGGAGCGGGGCGTTGCAGACGGTGCGCACCACCTGCAGGGCGCTCAGTACGGCCACGAAGTGCACCGCGCGGGCCAGCATGGTGACAGCGAATGGCCTTCTCTCTATGGGTTCTTCGCTCCTCAACCCTTTAAGCGGCCACCAGATTTGGTGGTTGGTGGTGGTGGTGGGGAGTGGGGTGGAGGGTGCTGCTGATGTTGTTGTTGAGCCTCAACTGGCCTGCCCCCGTGTTGCAGAGTGCCGCGTTCTGGTCCGAGCGCTTGAGATTCTCGCCTTGGCTTGGGAGCAGCCCCGGGTTGTGCTGCTGCTGCTGTTGTTGTTGCTGCTGCTTGGGTTCGTGTGGTCTGACCTGGTACTTGGGCCTGTGTTCTGCTTGATCCTGAGTGAGCCGAAATGGGCTGCTGCAGCGGTCTGGATAATGCCAGGCTTGTGATGGGATGGGCTGGTGTTGAGTTGGTGATGCTGATGATGATTGCTCCCGAGCGTGCTGTGCGCTGGGGCTTGGTTTGGATGGTGGCTGCGTTGAGCTCGGCAGGTCCCGAGCTGGTTCTGGTGTTCAGTCTGCATCCAGCGACCGCTGCCCAAGTCGAGCTTGCTGGTTGTTGGCTCCCAGTGCTCTGGACTAGGCAATGGCCACGCTGGACAAACGCCCAGGAGCTATACGGACTACGCTCCGACACAAGTTGCGCTGGTGCTGGTGGCGCATTACCGCGGGCTCGTGCTGGGCTACGACTCGTGTTTGGCCGCGCGTCACGGGCCTCTTTCTCCGGTTCTATGCTGGGCTCGTAGCGGCAGAATTAACAATAAACCCTCCACACTCGTCCACGTGTTACCGCTACGGCTTGCGAGGGACGGCCGCTTCTTTGCTCTCAGAGTCGTCCCAGCTTGGAGGCGAGGGGCGTGGCGCGTGGCGGGGGCGGGGTTCGAGGGGCGTGGCGAAGAGGCGACGGGCGGGGCTCGGACCGTGTACACGTGGTAGGCGCCAGCCGTTTGCAATCCCCAGAGCGCACGCGCGCGTTCGTCGTCCGGGCGCGTGCCGCTGTTGGCCGGCGGGTGGCGCCGCCGCGGCCAATCAGGGCGCGGGGCCCGCGCTGCCGCAGTGGGATTTGTAAAAAGAACGGGGGGGGGGGGGGAGGAGCCACGCTTGACCACTCCCTTCTCACCACGCCCACCATGTGTTGTTGATTAACAATACACAGTGCAGTGTTACTGCATGTGCTGCGATGATGCTGATGATGAAAAAAGGGGCATTGCCCGAAACGTCTCCTATTGTTTCCAATTAATGCAGCGTTCTTGACGAACGTGTCTAGTTATTTCATACGAACACTCGACGTTTGTTTTTGTGTAGAGTTTTGCTCATTTTTAACGCGTGCACAATAAGCAGTGACACTGGCGTTTTAAAAATAAATTTGCTACGTGTAACAAACTCACATATGCACATTACTGTGTTGGTAGTTTCTGGGTTAGGAGAGGCGATGGGAGATATCGAGGAGCACTAATGGAAAGGAAGGAGATGGTAAGGGATTAACGCAGAACGAATGGCCCTGGTGGGATGATGCGCAGATGTTGGTGACCCACGTAACCACATTCCAATGTTGCCACATTTTGGAACAAAAAATGTTCATTCATCGCATGTCAAGTGTTTTTAAAGGCCTAAAATTTTGCACAGAAAGACGATATATTTATTTTAAAACAGAACACATTCTTAAAATCCGTTTCACTGGCAAAAAAAACCACACAAACGTGGGGATAAAAATGTGCCGTTATTAAAAAGCCGTCTGAAAAAACTCCAATGCCCCATCATTTGGTAAAACGGCGCTTGATAGTGGATGCACATATAAAACCCCTTTACAGACGCGTTAATAACACTGCCTTAAAATGTAAAAGTATATCAATAGGCTTTTGTCATTGCACTTTTACGTGTTGAGTTTTTTTTTGGTCTGCAAATACCGCATAGAAACGTCTACATCTTGGAGGTAAAAAATCTCTCTGATCTGGCACCAGTATTAGGTGCTTTTTTCACGGCGTTGGGAGGAACGAAACAAAGCGGGGGAGGTGGAGAGAGACACGGGGGGCTGGGCCGGGTGACGAGAGGGCCCGGGGCATTGGCCAGGGCCCGGAGAGGAGGAGGGAAGGAATTGGAGAGTAACTCCCTCCTCCAGCCAGGATCCACGTCTTCACTCTCCCGTGGTTCTAAGTGAAATGGTCTGCCGTGTGCCACGAAGCAGCTGGTGCTCAGGTCACAGTTTACCCACGCGCACAGCACCCACGTACACAGCGTAGAGAGGGCTCTTAGGCAGGCAAACAAACGCACAAGCACCGCCACCATCAGCAGGCTCACCAGTGCCGTGAAAGCGCAGTACAAGAGGGACTCGCCAATGCCGCGATCAAAAGTGTGGCCAGAAAACCAATTGGTGTGGCCAGGCGCAAGAATGTGGCCACAGTCTGGGATTTGGCCCAAGTCGTGTCCTTTGCCTGGGTTGCGGATATGGCCAGGTGCTGGGAAGGGGTCAGGAGGACTCTGGACACCGACACTGTTGGTGGTGGCACCACTGCTGGCCCTGCTGGTGACCCTGCTGGCCACCGGCGTGGGCGCCCAGTACGAGCGCTACAACTTTCGGAGCTTCCCCCGGGACGAGCTGATGCCCTTGGAGTCGGCCTACCGCTTCGGCACGGACCAGTACACGGACGAGAAGTGGCCCGAGTGCGTGGAGTACCTGGAGATGAGCCTGCGGTTGCACCGGCTGCTCAAGAACAGCGAGGCTTTTTGCAACCTCAATTGCAGCCAGCAGACCATGCATCAGCACCTTGAGCAGCTGGCCCTGCACAAGCAGAAGATTCAGCAGAGCCAGGAGCAAAAGGACCAACAGACCTCCGAGCAAAATCTGCAGCAGACTCAGCAGCAAAAGAACCAGCAACTGTACATGAATGTGCCCGATGAGAAGGAGGTGGCTCTTTCCACGGACAGCAAGGACGATGAGCTGGGAGAGCTCAGGACCTTTGCCATGCTGCTCAGAAGGGCTCAGTGTCTCAAGAGATGTAAGCAGGTGCTGCCCGCTTTTCGACAGTCGCTGCCCACCAGAGAACTACTCAACGATTACGAAAACCGGGTGCCCTACCAGTTCCTGCAGCTGTGCTACTTCAAGGTGAGACCGGGCTGGTGAAACATGCGATCAGCCTACAGGCAAGTGCATCTGGCCTTGTGGCACTGTGGTTATCTCCTATGACTCATATTTGAGAAGTTTTAATATTTCAAAACTTAACCCAACGTATCATGTGGGCTATCCTCCGTTATGGAAATGTGGAATTTTCACTGGTGGCCAGGTGTGCCATGTGCTTGTTACATCCTGGAGCCATTAAGCTTTTGACTATATACACGTTTGTGAGTTAAATGGTGACAGTTGAGCTCAAGGAAAAGTATGGGCCAGGCTTAGAACCCGAGATGACCTAATCGATGACCACTGATTGGATTGCATCAAAATAAACAATTGCTGTTTGGAGTGAATTAGACCTTTCATTTACTTAATATAAATGGGTCGCTAATAGCATGATGTTCCGAGTGCCACTGAGACTCGTGACGAATAATTTTATTGAGGCTGTGGATTTGGCTGAGACATAAAACCAACCATTTTGGTGTGCCAAGGGAAAAAAAGCACATAGGTATGTATGCTTGGCTTGTGTATGACACCTATATATTTCGGCTCTGTGATATGCATACACTGGTCATCTATATTGGACATGTTCGAATAAGAAAAGGCTTAAATTAATTAGAGCCCTTTGTAAGGCCACTGCTGGATGATGGTCTCCCTATATGGTAAATCATAGGGAATTTTGACCATCGCGACGCTGCTAATTGCAGTTTTGTGATGCGGATGTCCACGACTGGTTTAGGTATCACGAGCTGTTAGCCATGCCAATGAATTTGGGTTATCAGGTTTATGGCGCCGTGTGCTAACCACTGTACCACTGCACCATGAAAAGATTGAATTACTTGATGTCATAATTTGAAACTGCAAAAGTCGAACGTTGGCACCAGTTGCGAGTTCAGCAGTTGAACTGAGTTTTATGCATTAAGTGAGTAATATTTTACTGATATATGTGTCTTTGTGTCTGTGGCTTACCATGCTCAGGTGAACAATGTGCCCAAGGCCATAGCGGCCACCTACACATACCTGCGCAAGAACCCGGATGACGAGATGATGCAGAAGAATATGGCGTTCTACCGCACGCTGCCAAACATAGAGGACGAATATTTTCGAGACCTGGAGGCTCTCGCATATGACGTGAGTGAGACCTTGCACTGCCCCATGATGGCCCTGACCAGCATTTACAAAGGCAATGGTGCTGTGAATGATCTCCCCTTACATGGGAAAGCCAATTGTATAAATTCCATATTTTTACAGTCGGGAGCAATCTTTATGTATAATAATCACTGTTGCTTGCTGAAGAATTGGTAGTCATTGTCAATTCCAGAGGGATAAACTCGCAGCTTCCTCACTTGATCTCGCAAACTTTCTCAAAGTTAATAACTCACCCAGCCTGAAACATTCTCTAACAGTATGACCATCAACGGTGACCATTTCATAAATAATTATTGCCATTGGGGGTTCTTTTCAGAGTGTATACAGGTTGAAGAGTAGGCCAAATATCTTCTAGAGGGGCTACATTGCTGTTTGGAGGTCCTTCCATCCATCAGCAGTGATGTGAGCATTTAATTGCAACTCTGCACCTTGACCACCGGTTTTACACTTTGCAAGTATCATTAGTATTATTAAATAGTAGCGGGAAGTACCTGGCGTTTCCCGGGCGAAAAAGACAGACACACACATCGACTTACACACACACATATGGACTGACACACACAGACATCGAATTTAGATACACACACATGGAGTTACACACACACATGGACTCACACACACACGTAGACTTACACACCCAAGATTTGTACTAACTGTGGAGCTACCTGCTATGATTACAGCAGTGCATACTGTGGTGGTACCTGCTATGATTACAGCAGTGCATACTGACTCTGGTGGTATTGCTATGATAACAGCAGTGCATACTGACTGTGGTGGTACCAGCTATGATTTCAGCAGTGAATACTGACTGTGGTGGTATTGCTATGATAACAACAATACATACTAACTGTGGTGCTACCTGCTATGATTACAGCAGTACATACCAACTATCGTGATACCTGCTATCACTACAGCAGTGTATACCGAACTGCTATCACTACAGCAGTGTATACCGACTGTGGTGGGAAATAAGTATTTGACCCCCTCTCAATCAGAAAGATTTCTGGCTCCCAGGTGTCTTTTATACAGGTAACGAGCTGAGATTAGGAGCACACTCTTAAAGGGAGTGCTCCTAAAATCAGCTTGTTACTGTATAAAAGACACCTGTCCACAGAAGCAATCAATCAATCAGATTCCAAACTCTCCACCATGGCCAAGGCCAAAGAGCTCTCCAAGGAAGCCAGGAACAAGATTGTAGACCTACACAAGGCTGGAATGGGCTACAAGACCATTGCCAAGAGCTTGGTGAGAAGGTGACAACAGTTGGTGCGATTATTCGCTAATGAAAGAAACACAAATGAACTGTCAATCTCCCTCGGCCTGGGGCTCCATGCAAGATCTCACCTCGTGGAGTTGCAATGATCATGAGAACGGTGAGGAATCAGCCCAGAACTACACGGGAGGATCTTGTCAATGATCTCAAGGCAGCTGGGACCATAGTCACCAAGAAAACAATTGGTAACACTACGCCGTGAAGGACTGAAATCCTGCAGCGCCCGCAAGGTCCCCCTGCTCAAGAAAGCACATTTACATGCCCGTCTGAAGTTTGCCAATGAACATCTGAATGATTCGGAGGACAACTGGGTGAAAGTGTTGTGGTCAGATGAGACCAAAATGGAACTCTTTGGCATCAACTCAACTTGCCGTGTTTGGAGGAGGAATGCTGCCTATGACCCCAAGAATACCATCCCCACCGTCAAACATGGAGGTGGAAACATTATGCTTTGGGGGTGTTTTTCTGCTAAGGGGACAGGACAACTTCACCGCATCAAAGGGACGATGGACGGGGACATGTACCATCAAATCTTGAGTGAGAACCTCCTTCCCTCAGCCAGGACATTGAAAATGGGTCGTGGATGGGTATTCCAGCATGACAATGACCCAAAACACATGGCAACAAAGGAGCGGCTCAAGAAGAAGCACATTAAGGTCCTGGAGTGGCCTAGCCAGTCTCCAGACCTTAATCCCATAGAAAATCTGTGGAGGGAGCTGAAGGTTCGAGTTGCCAAACGTCAGCCTCGAAACCTTAATGACTTGGAGAAGATCTGCAAAGAGGGGTGGGACAAAATCTCTCCTGAGATGTGTGCAAACCTGGTGGCCAACAACAAGAAACGTCTGACCTCTGTGCTTGCCAACAAGGGTTTTGCCACCAAGTACTAAGTCATGTTTTGCAGAGGGGTCAAATACTTATTTCCCTCATTAAAATGCAAATCAATTTATAACATTTTTGACATGCGTTTTTCTGGATTTTTTTTGTTGTTATTCTGTCTCTCACTGTTCAAATAAACCTACCATTAAAATGATAGACGGATCATTTCTTTGTCAGTGGGCAAACGTACAAAATCAGCAGGGGATCAAATACTTTTTTCCCTCACTGTACCTCAGCGTTGTAATTTTTTTTTTGCATTTTGAACGCGAATGAGAAATCCCCGCCCTCCACCGATGACTCGTGTGCGTTGCAACCCCCGGGCAGCTTTATCGTCGCGATGAAATAATTAAATAATGAAAAATACCACTACATTGTTCATTTTACTACTTTCAAGTTGACGGATGGGAAAACGGAAGCGCTGGCTCACCGCGGGGCTTACAGCGTGGTACCCGGCTACTTTTGTTTTTTACGTAAACCCCACGGTTTGCGAGCCAAATCCTTCGCAAGCACGCGTCCACAGACAGACGGACAGACAAAAAATGACGTTTGTAGGTAAGATTGGTATCAATTAAAGTCATTTCACAATACCTTCCATAATCTGATATTTATACCCCTGAATGCTACTTTATGCATGGAGATACTTTGACGTTGATCTGAAATATTATTAATTGTAGTCGTGGAACTCATTGTTCCCCCTTCTCCAAAGCTAAATGCATGGCATCAACTAAACAATGGCATTAACTAAACAGTGGTGAGGCTGTTATATGATTGTATTGGTAATCTCTCAGTTACCCCATACAACCTGGCTCTGTTCCGTGACCTCCTGCAAGCAAGCCTTCTACACTTAATGTGGCCTCAAAGTGCACCTAACCTGACACAGGCACCGTGGTGACATTACTACCAATTAGCGGCGAATGACGGCTGTTGTGTGGGGGTGTGTTTGCTTTGTTGTCCACAGGGCACGTTCGTGGCTGCAGCAAAGGCCTTCAATGCAGAGAACTATCAGAGCTGCGTCACGAACATGGAGCAGACCCTGCCGGTGTACTTCAAGGCTTATGACGATTGCTCGGCAGGCTGCGAGGGCTCGCGGGAGATCACCCACTTCAAGGACTTCTACCCCTCCATCGCTGGTAACCAACGCGTGTCTATTCGGCATGCTCGTGAGTGGGCAGCACATTCTGTGCGCACTTCCGTCTAATATGAGCACCAATTTAGATATTAGGACGTTTTTGTTCAGATTGGTAGCTACAGGAAATGCAGCCTGCCTGATATGGTATGTACGTATTTTTTACTTATTTTGCACCGTACGTCGCCAACCGCGCTGATCACGGATGCGGGGGAAGGACAAACTTAACACAAAAAGCGGTTCTGAAGAATTAGTTTTCAATCTAGAATTAAAAGTGCATAGTTCCAGTGGCTTCCTAATATCGGAAGGAAGAGCGTTCCAGATGGCCGCAGAAGCGCATCTGAAATCACACAATGCAGTGACTATCTTTATTCGATGGCTAAAAAAAACGCTGCAAAGATGACTGGAGTTCACGTGATGGTTTTTGCTCCTTGACGAGATCATTCAATTAACAGCATGATACTCGGGGGAGACTTGCTATTATGGTGATTACTGCATGATCCTGTAGTCATTTAGCTGTTTTCTAATTATAATGAGCTCCAAAAATTTTAAGCAATTAATAACTTTATATTGTGAAATTAAATGGATGACCACAAGGTACGGTGTACAGATACCCTAAATGGTCTTGTTATTGGAGGAATGGTTGATTTCGTCGATGATATTTTGAGTAAACGCTTTTCAAGAGTGTGACAGGAATTGGTGATAAATAAATACAAAGGAGAGCGAAAGAGAATGGTAACGTGTGTGATAATCCGCAGACCACTTTGTGGAGGTGCTCCACTGCAAGCAACAGTGCGAGGATGAACTTACGCCCGTGGTCGGGGGCTTCCTGGTGGAAAAGTTTGTGCCGACCATGTACCACTACCTGCAGTTCTCCTACTACAAGCGTGAGTGCGCATCTCCTGCCATCGCTCCACACCATCGCTCCACACCATCGCTCTCTGCCTGTACCTCACTGCAGTCTCTACCAGTATTCGTACATCCTGACTGGGCTTGGGTTCGGCCCAGTTACAGTGTGCTCTGCCTGCACACTTCAACAAGTGAGCTCTTCTGCATGCTTGTGTCTCGACTGCAACGTGGATTCTCAGATAATTATGGGCAGTGTTAAGAGATTGATTTCAGCACAATTCCAGGCCAGTCAGGTTCAACTACGCTTTGCAGTGGTCATGGAAACAAGAAATACACCTCCGCATAGTCTCACCCAGTGGTATCCCTGTTCAGTGTTGACCCCTTGCAGCCCTTTGTCAGAATATGCCGCTTTCTCCTCACCTTCTGCTATTCCAGAGGACAACTTCAAACAGGCAATATCGTGTGTCGCCTCCTACCTCCTGTTCGACAAGAATGACACGGTGATGAAGCAGAACTTTGATTATTACCAGTTCCACCGCGACTCTCTCAATCTCACCGATGAGGACTTCAACGCCAGACCAGTGAGTTCTGTGCACACACTCTGGTGCACACACAATGCATGCAGTTGGAGTCCAAGTGACTGCAGCTCGATCAAATTGATGAAAGTTTTTTTTTTAAATCAGTGGTTAGCATGGGGTGGTACCATTCCCGATTTTGTCTTTCCGTAAAGTGGTGGTCAATTAATCGACCCCAGAAAAATAACAGGCTATGCCAAACTTTACTAACCAGGATTTAAACGAAAATGCCATCTGGCTTGATGGGCTCATTATAATCGAAGTAAAGTACCGAGTGCATTAACGCAGCCTACACATACGAAGCACATGTACGTGTATGGCATACACACTTAAGTGTTCGGCTGTGGTGTATCATCTCAACAAGCAAATGCAAGACAGCCATGGGGCATAGGGATGCATTGACAGTGCCGTCCATTGCGTTCGTTTAAACGCTCCATGGCCACAAGGTGGCAGCACACGACCACAGGGCATGCTGGTACATTAACATCAACTTGTTTGAATGCCATAAACATGTCCTTTGAATTCCCGAATTATCCCTTTAATACTGACTGATGTTGTAGTCATACAAAAGGGGATGCAACAGCTTCACAGATGCTGAATATATAAGTGTGTGGTATATGTGACTTAAGCGCCACTGCGGTTAGATCGCTTGATTCGCTAATTCAGATCATCAATTCTGAATAGAATTAACACCACTTTTGCAAAATTTTGCATTGGTTTTCGTATGGTACTGCCATCGCAATATAGAATTTCCACCACTGGGTCAGATCCACCAATTGAGATAAAGTATTATTTGAGTGAGGCAATGTTGGCCTCTTTTTACTTTAAAAATAAAGGTTTTTGGTAAAGTCACGTAGAAGGGAAACAATAAAATAATAAAAATATAAAACAAAATATTGTTTTAAAACAAAATATTTTTTACATTTTTATTATTTTATTGTTTCCCTTCTACGTGACTTTACCGAAAGAACCAAGAATATGAATCCCTGCAGTCACGAAAGCTTTAAATCACAACCAATATTATTCATAATAAAGATTTTTGGGTTAGATCGCGTAAGTATAAATGTGTCGAAATCCTCCACCATGCGACGCAGCCAATTAGTAAGGGAATTGTCACGTAAAAAAATGCCAAATAGTTACTACTTTACTCTTTGGTGCTTTCAGTAAGGTCACGTAGGTAGAAAAATAAAATAAAATAATAAATAATATATCACGACGTTTGAATTGGAACACAAGCGGTCGTCCTAGGGCGGAAAAAATAATCCAGCAGTGGAACTGCTGAACCAGGAAGAAACACAGCGAGAGCGCTGTTACTACAAGACGTTATATATGTGGCAAACTGCAAGCAGGCAGGGTCTGAGCTGGAAAGGAATTACATCCCCGCACGCTAGCACGTCAGTTGTGTTAATGGGGGAGATTAGGGAGAGAGAGATTAGGGAGAGAGATTACCCCAATGGGTCTACCCCAATCATGACCTGGGACAGTACAGCATCGATTCCGGTGTCGCTGGCGTCCGTATCCAAGACAAAGGACAGAGAGAAATAAGGGTATCCAAGGGGAGGCATATTGGCGAGGCCATCACGCAGTGTGATGAACGCGGCCTCCTCCTCCCCCCACCGAAATCTCTGGCCCTTTGCAGTGATTGCGTAGATAATATCCGCAGCCAACATTTCGTCAACTGCCTGGAGAATGTGGTCCTTCTCCGTGGGACTGAGCCTGTACGAATTCTGGCGTATTGGAGCAGCGTTACCCATGTCGATGCGATGTTGCAATAGTGACGTGCGGCCAATATCAAATTTCCCTTGGCAAAAAATATCATCATTCTCGGAGCAAGGCACGCAGCTCGCCCTGCTGTTCCCCAGACAATTAAGAATTTTCTCCAAACAATGCATCCATCCAAGCCCCGTCCGACTCGCCTCCCCTCTCCACCGTGGCAACGACCTTTGCAGACTCCGCGCAGGCCATTGCGTGGGCCAAAACTGTGCCGGCTTGGACCACCGCAGCCCCCAGCCCGATGTTTAGCACTTGCAAAAAGGACTCCTGGTCCCCCCTTATTATAGTTTGGGCACCCACCAATGCGAGACCCCGAATCGCCTTGTTCGAGGCGGTCTAAAGGACCCCTTCAATGGGATTTGTCAAATCAAGTTGCTTCCGCAACCGCAAGGGCTCCAACATCTGAGCGCCTGGAGGAACCGTAACAGTTTATTTTTCCAGGGCCCGAATCGTGGCTTTGGTGCTTTCCAACCGGGTTGGAGACCTCAGGAAGGCCAACCGCCATCCCCACGGCAATTCAATACTACCTCGATCGACAAGGATCTTAAGGGGCATCCTCCCGAGAAAATCTGTGCCCAAAAGACAGGGCACAGCCAATGTCCTAGAAACCAACACCGGCCCTGTCAACTCAATGTCCCCAATGCGGACTTTCGCCAATATTTGGCCTGTAATGCCCAGACTCCCGCCATTTGCGGTGAAATAAGCACTTGCGATCGGGCTAAGACAACAGGACCTCAGCGGCAATAACTTAAAAATAAGCTCCAACATCATAGTAGCCGACACTCCCGTGTCAATCAGCACCCTCGCCTCTATCCCCTGAACAAACCCAACTAGCGCGGACGACCCCACTGCCGCCACCACGACACAGTGCGCCAACGCATTCCATTGCCCCGCGGCCACCCGTTCGATGCCGAAGGTCGTTGCTCGCGCACCGTGACACGATGAGAGATTACGATGTGCGAACCCAACGCGCTCAACAACGGGGGTGCATGATGTGACTTTTTCGGCCGGGTGTCTGATGCATCGCGACTTGCTGGCGGGGCGGAGGACAGTGAAGGCAAGCGATCCGGTGCCGTTGCGACACCCCCTGGCGATGTGGCCCGGCTGGCCGCATTTGAAGCAGGCGATTGTGGACCTCCACACTGGAAGAGGGCCGCTCTCACACCGTTCCTGCTCCGGTCGTCGCCCCTCGATTTTCCTCCGCGTGGACCTTGGTGGAATGACGCGCAGGACCGCTCCAGCTACCACAGTGCAGGCTCCTCCGCGTCCTCCGGGAGTCCCACGCAGGCAGCCACACCCCGAGCCACCGCTGCAAGTTGATGTGTGCTTGGATGGAGCGGGCCACCTTTAGGGACGATAGGTCATCCTCCTCCGTAACGGGAAGAGAGACGCCCAACTCCTGGGCCAGCGACAGCACTCTCTCCAGCACCAGGGAATCCAGCGCAGTCTGCTCCATACGCGGGTATTCCGCGTGGACCAAGGCCAACAGTGCGCTGCTGAAGGCGAGAGGCATCTCGGCCTCCCCTCGCCTCCGCAGCATGAACCTTTGACGCGCGTTGGACGGTGGATCAAAAATGGCAGGCATCTAAGCGCATGCCCAAGATAGAGTTGCCCGATCAGCCTCGGGGATGGCCTCGAACACCGCCAGGGAATCATCATCCAGCACCGTGGGCAGAGCTCGTAGCGCCTCCGCGTCTGACCACCCAACCAGGTTGCAAGCCCCCCGCGGCCACGAACTCGCGGACGGTAGACAGGCGTTTCCGTAGAGACAGCGCCCCCGCAGAAGCTGCTGATGGTGACTCGAATATGGCGGGAAGACTTTCCTGCTCGGATGACAATGGCGGTCACTTTCTGCGCCGTGCCCGCGGCGAACAAAATGGCGGCCGCTTGCGCGGGCGGGAACTCCGCCGTTTCCCACGCTGGTGCGGCAGTGGAAGGTGAGCCGTCCGCCTGCTGCCCTCTTACTGCAGCATCTCCGTCAGGCGCCGCGGACCCGAGCTGGACGACCAGCTGTGCTGCGACGGAGAGTAGGCCCGCGAGGCGCCCGGTGAGGTCGCGCCACCGTTCTCTGACCGGCGGCTGCAAGGGGCCGATGTCCCTCTCCTGCTGCTCCACAGGCATCGCCGCCTCGGGAGACATCACCGGAGTCCCGATTCCGGGGCAGTCGAGGGGATCACATCCCCGTTGTCCTCGTCTCCAGAGAACACTATCGGTGTGTTATTTCTCTTGGCCGCTTTTGACGTGACGAATATCAATTTCTTTAGCACTTCTGACGCCAAATGTAGTGACTAACTCGGAGACAATAAGACTTGGAGGCACTTTTTTATTAACAAGCACCATCGGGGTTAACACTCTTCATAATTAGTCCGTCTATTGTCGACGACGCTACTCAGTCAGGCCAGTTGGTAGGCTGCCTGACTAGTGGTGCCCCGAGATGGTAGAGATGGAGACGACGACTAGAAGAATGGTGAAGACGACGAGAATGGTGAAGATGATGAGAAGAACGGTGATGAAGACTGCAGCAGCACGACGGGGATCCCACTCCAACAACAGCCCCGAGGTCCCCTACAGGGGCCCCTCTTATACTGTCAGCGTGGCCTCGCTCTGCCCTCGTCCATTGCCCCCTTTCTGGAACCTACCAGCGGGTTCCTGGTGGGTCCCTTCTGTGACCTTTCCCCTAGATCCCCCTCTGATGTATACCCTGGCCTGCTAACGTCAGGGATGCCGTATGCCCTAGATCCCCTTTCCTGCTAGCAGCCAGCACTATGCTACTACACTATGCCACAACACATGTACAGATTTGCTATAGGAGGAGATAAAGGAGAGCCCAATGGCTGCTCCTTCCTTTTGCTTAAAGAAATCACCTCTCCATAAGAAATAAGTGTTCTTTAGACAATGGTCAGCTAGTTTTGGTGAACCTGTCTTATTTACTAGAAAATTGGAGAAACTCTGCATTAAGCGTGTAAAATTGATGTCTTCACTGGCGTGCACCTCAAAAGGTGCAGAGATTCAAAGTTAATACCAAACACTGCAAGAATCCATACTCTGGTTCTTTCGATAAAGTCACGTAGGTAGAAAACACACTAATAGATCACGACGTTTTGATCGCAACACAAGCAACCATCATCAGGTGTGAAACAAATGCAGCAGGAGAACTGCTGACGTTGGGAGTTCTCCTGCTGTTTGTTTCACGCCTGATGACGATTGCTTGTGTTGCGATCGAAACGTCGTGATCTATTATTTTTTCTACCTACGTGACTTTACCGAAAGAACCAAAGAGTGTACATCACATAATGTATGTTAAGCTAACCAAATACTACACAAAGCTAGCGAATTATTGTTCCTAGAGAGAATACAGCACAACAGAAGTGAATTATCTCGCATTTCTGAATCTCTAAAGCACTTGCATGTCATCATTAGTGTATCCATACATTATCCGAATATAATCGATACTATAACACCACAATCGGCTGAGAATGTATTTAACCTAACAAAAACTAACCAAATTCATAAATTCTCTAGACTTCATAAAAAACAATTCCCAACTAATAATGGACAATTTAAAAACAAAACGCTAATGAACTTAATTAACACTGATTTAACTAGCGACATGATATCGGTCCTTTCTAAAGGTCTTAACTTTGCCGTTACCCCACGTACAATTCCAGTAGATGAAATAATTGTTGAGGTGGAATCAGCGGTAAGACACCTTCCATATAATGCCGCAGAGATGACTAGGCACGTGGTTGCCAAAATAATTGAGAATAGCAAAGTACCAAAAATAAATATTTGCTTTGGCAAAGCAAAAGCCTTAAGAGAGCTTCGATTAACTAAATATATCCAAATTCTGGCGGCTGATAAAGGCCACACAACTGTAGTGATGTTACGAGCGGATTATGATAATTCAATTAAAGATTTACTGGAGGAAAGTACCTATATTAAAATTAAACGAGATCCAACTAATACTTTAGAACATAAGACTACTGCAATCATTGCAAATACAAAAAATTAAAAAAAATAGACTTTGGTATTTTTTTTGGGGGGGAGGGGGGGGGTGCAATAATGCATATGTTTTGCAAGACAAGTGAGTTGTGACGTCACATCTGTCATGTCACCCGCGCATGCGTAGTGCTTAGCACCCGAGTTCGATTTCCGCTCACGGACACCACCGGTGACGATTATTTCAACCGGTCCTGGGCCTCCCCTAGGTCGACTCAGCCTCAAACGAGTAACTGGTGTGGTGTGTGAACATCGCCACTGGGGAGACAAAGGCGGCCGGGCGTGGTGAATCCAAGTCCCGGGCGAAGCCGGGTAGTAAAGCTAGTTCCTTATAAAGGAAACATACTCATCAACTAATTAATAATCTATTATATAATTACAATAGCCCCCCCCCCTCCTCCGCTTCTGATCTCTGCACCTGATTGTGTTCAGGTGATGACATCGTCCTGCTCTATTTAAGACCAGAAACAGGTGGATTGCTTCACTATTCTGGCAAATCGCCCGATGATGCTGGTTGTAATCACCAGCGAAACGTCGTACCCAAATTGTAAATGTTGTGGATTTACTCTCCAACACACCGGTGGGCTGAAGCAGTAACTCTTTGGCATTTTGTTTACGTGACAAATCCCTTACCAATTCTTTATTATGAATAATATTGGTTGCAAAAGCCTACGTGTTAAACTCTTTTTTACTTTGTTCGTGACTGGGGTTTGATGCTCAGCCATGCAGGATATCAGTGGCACATTGTGTCTGAACGTGTGCTAGGTCTCCTAGAGGTTGACTCAGCCTTAAATAAGTGCGTGGGTGGTGTGTGTAAATATCAGCACTGGAGACATAAATATGTTCAGGCATGGGATCGGTCAGACCACCCTTTTGTGAGACATACCTGCCCTCATTTGGTGCACACAAAACTAAAATTACTGCACCGTATGGCCTGTAAGACAAAATGGGAGATGCCGGTATCTGTTAATGTGTGTGTGGTACAAACCCGGCGACCCGAGTTCCATTCCTACTCAGGGCCAACACTAGTGACAATTATCTGAACCCAACATGGGCTTCCCCGAGATCGATTCAGCCTCAAATTAATACCTGGTGCATGGTGGAAACATCATCACTAGGGAGACAAAGGCGGCCAACATGATGCTGGCCACCCACCCCATCTTGTGCTGTGCCAGCCTTCACAGGTGCTTGCTTATCAGTCTGTTAAGGCTGTCCGGGGACTCTTCATCTTTGTCTTTTGTGTGCATGCAGGAAGCACTCAAATACCACAGCCAACTGATACTGCAGGCAGACCTCTTCCGGTTTGTACAGGAGCACTTCCAGCCAGATGACGAGGTAAGGGCACATGTGGATTTTAGTCAGTTTAACACGTAGGCTTTCGTGACCAATATCCATGATACAGGTTTTTTTTTGGGTTAGATTGCATAAATATATAAATGTCGTTAAACCCGCCACAGAACATGCCAATTTGAAACGAATTGGCATGTTCTGTTTACGTAACAAACCCTACTAATTGGCTGGTTAAATGACACAATTATATATTTACACGATCTAACTAAAAAAAACTCTCATGGGTGGATTTTAGTATCCCCATTCTCTCACCACTTTACCAACAAGTTCATTGTCATCATAGGTGGTGAGACAGCCGTCCAGGCATGTGCCATGCAAGGTATTCCAGCATGGCAATCTACCTGAATTACGTGGTAATAGAAAGTCAGCTTAAATACTTTTAGCCAAATATGAACAATTCCCAAGTATACAGTAGGTGAGAATGCTTATCAATGCACCTATTTGCCAAAAGGGTATTCAAGAAAATGCACAAATTTTGCTCTTCACACGACGATGTACTACAGGGTTTTACAAATTATAATTCGGAACAATTGCGTTCAGTTGAGTTAAAATGTGGAGAGATTTAAAGGGTAAAACTCGACTATGCAACTTTTTTTATTTTACCAGGTAAGGCCCACTGAGCTTTATAGCTATTTTTCAGAGGCAACCTGGCCACAAATGATAGCCCAACGAAAATAAAAGACTCACAGATATTGTGATATATTGAGATCTTATACAGTAGCAGTGGCCCCATTGGCAGGCACAGCACAGCAAGCATGTAGAAACTATTTTGAAGATGGAGGGCAATGAGTCTTGGGGGTGGTCCTGTCAAGTTACTATAGGAACCATGAAGGCTGTGCATTGAAGGGACACAGTCGATGGCTTCCTCATGTTTGAAATTTGGGAGGCAACTGCACCTCTTCTCTCCTATGCTTCCAAGCCAATGAAACACAGATCCTTGTATCAAAAATTTGCAGGCTCAAGTGGTTGGTATTCGTGCCAATTGATCCCAATGTCTGTTTAGTATGTTTCAGCTCTATGGTGCTTTGTTAATTGTGAGCATCGCTCTGCTTTTCCTTTTGCCGCTGGAGGACAGCTGCTGCCAGCGACACTGACATAATGCATGGGCTGTTAATCAGCAAGAAGTGGGGTCAACACGCACATACGGATACAGAGTTCTGCCAATTAGGCTTATGGGTTGGCATAGCAGAATCCCAGGCCATGTTTAAATACAAATTACAAATGATGTGCAACATGTCTGGTAATTGAACACAGTGCACAGCTGCTCCCCACTCACAAACACACACACACCAATACACTAACCCATAGAGCCACTGTTTTCTGAGTTACAATGCCTATATGAATGTGTGCATTCACAAACTATGGTTTAATATATTGGGTGTTTGCTACGTATAAAGAAGTACTTTTGTAAATTGGTAATGCATTGCATTGTCATAATGGCCCGATTTATTTATGTTTATAAATTATCTCTGTTAGCGACTGTATATAGCAATGAAAGGTATTTTCAAAGTGTACCTAGGCTCGACAAGCATTGACATAACACTGTATCTGTTGTCAGTCCTGATCCAGCAGTGGAAATTCCACATTCCCATGGTGGGAGGGTCAATTCTCTCTCTAAAATGACAACCACTGCTGGTTATTATAAAGTGCCTTTCACAAAAGCCTTCCTATGAAGCATTGATTGATCAGCTGAGATATGACCAGGCTGCCATCAAGCCAGGCAGCTCGGCTAACATTTAAACAATTCACACTTGGTCTTTTTTGCTTGCAATAAATATGGTGATGTTAATGCACACAATATGTTTCTGCTTGTGCTGTCCAATCTTTTGCATTCAGGCAGAAGTGGTGGAATATATTGACGATGTTCCAGTGGCAGGGCAGGGCAGCTAATCTTTGTGACAGAAAAAAAAAATCCTCAACTCCTTCCCAGTATAACTGCAAATACTTGTGTCCAGGGCACACCATGCAATGATGTCACCTTTCACTCTAACTGCTTTCGCTTATTGCTTTTTCAACAAAAAAAATTATCAACTGCTTCTATACATAAACACAAACTTTTGACTGTTACAGCCCATTCCATATTAAAGCCGCAAGGCACGTCTTTGTATTTCGAAGCATAATGGTTGTTTTATCTGAAATATCATTCCAAAGTTCTTTGTCAAGTGGATGGCTTTTGTAAGGTGTGTAATCTTACATTTTTGTTTTCAAAGCACATTTTTTTTATAGGTCATTATGAATGTTGGCTGTAATTTTTTAAGACGTGAAAGTTTTTTTTAAATGTAAAGTTATATTCATGTGCGTGCCCAACGAACCTTTACCGTAGGATTAAGTGTTATTGCTGAAATTACTTATTGAAATGATTAACACAGGTATTGGTATTTACACTAATGGCTATGTTCATAATCATGATATGGAAATATAGAAATATTTTTAGATGGATTTTTTTACAAAATGAATTAAATAATATCTCATAATACTTTCGAGTTAAGGAAATAAATAACGACACTAATCTATAGCATTAAGATTGAACAGTTTATATAGAGGCCCACATATCAATAGGTAAAGATTTTCTGTAATAAGAAAAGGCGCAGGCTTCACATAGCAATCCGGTACCACACTGTCAGTGTCACTTTTCAAACAAGCAATGGAGCTGTTGCATTCATCTCTATCGAAAAACCCTGAGCCAGTGGTAACAACTCCACATTTCTATGGCAGGAGCCATTCTTTGCATAAGATGACCATATCCCGAAAGGGTAAGAAGTTGGCTCAACCACCCAAGCGATATTTGAACTTGTGATCTTGTGATTCTGTCAAGCTCTCTAACCGCAGTGCCAGCCGGTGAGATGTATGATCCATAATTAAATCTAAAGCACGTATGCAGTTGATGCATTACTTTACAGATGCCAAACAGTTGACACTTTTACCTTTTAAGTTGGTCACTTTAATATAATACCCAAACTCTGGTGGGGTGGGGCTTGTGAAATAATGAAGGATTTACCCCCAAAATTTAGTACAGCCTAAATGTCACATTAATAATCACTGCCGTATAAAATAGACACATGCAAGGTTATATTTTGGAATATGCTTTTTAAGAATTGAGAAACAGAAATGTTTAGGACACTCTGCAAAAGTTATCCTTCCATAGACCTTTTAATAATATACAATTTAGTGTTAATGACAAAAAGCGGTGCGCACTTTCAGCCTACACTTCATAGCTGCTGTCCTGTCATCGTTCATGTTATCCTGTGGTATTTGTCATGTTCACTTATTTACTTTCTTCTCCGGAAGAGCTGTGTAACATAATCTCATGAAAGCTGCCTGAACTCTGCCTCATTTCGCTATTCCTACACCACGCAGCTGCCCACTCTGCAAGCACCATGTATGGAATGCACCTTTCACTTTGCGATCAGTTGTTGCCAGATCTGGTGGGGAGCAGGAGGTGAATCTCGAGGCCAATGGAATTTTTTTTTAATGTTGCTCAAATTATCTCTTCTTTTAAAAATCATATTAAAAGAGACAAGTCATGAGGCCCCAGGCCCTTTTTTAGGACATATGTTGGTTTTAAAAGTTAAAAGTTCTTGTTATTTTACTCACACATTCACCGATTCATTTATCAGTTTTGCAAATGATTTGTTAGAAGCTGAGTGACACACATTCATTTCAACATAAATATTTCTTAAAACAAGATTTCAGTTATTAAAACAACTAAATGTCAAGACTGCAGGAATTGGGAAAACAATTTGTGAAAACGGTAGATGAATAAAAAGTATCGGGCGATATTTAACAAAAATGAAGGTGAGGATAAAGTTTATTTAGAATTGCATAAAAAAACATTTTAATTCGAAAGGCAGGCTATTGTAGGTGTAGGGGAAGAGATCAATCTTGAGCCAGCACTGAAAGAGGGAGGGAGTGGTGCAGAGTAGGCAATGTAAACATTTAAGCGATGGACGTTCCGGACCGAAGCAGTAGCAGGGGAACGCAGAGTGAAAAATCTCCAAATACTACGGTTAAACGTCAGCTCTGGCAACACTGCTTACGACTTTTAAGAGCCTGTGCAGTGAGCACGTGTTTATCATCCGCCAGTGGATAAGCGACTTGCGCCAGCGTTTGCACGTTCTGTCTTCCCGCGCGTGTGTGTGTGCGCCACTTTTTTTCTGTCACAACTGATTGGGGCCCGTTTCCTCGCACTTCTGCTGCCCAGATGGAAATAGAGGATGGGGTAGCGGGGGCAGCGTCCCAAGGAGAAGACAAAGACGGTGTTTCCGACGCCGAGTTTGAGGGAGAGGGCGACTACGAAGAGGGCTTCTTTTCTGATAAGTGGTTGCAGGGCTTGCGTGAGCGGGGAGACGTGGGCCAGCGAGAGACCTACACCTGACGGACACGCACGAATGTAGTAGCATGGCCCCTCATGTCGAGTCGAGAAGGGTGCACCCCAACTGTTGTTGCGAGTGATGCTCATTGTATATCGCTGCCGAGCCCAAGATTTAGCCACCTGCCGGGAGCCATCAATCATTAGCGACACAGTCTGTACGCCACAACCATTTGTATTGAGAGCAGTTGGGGAAGGTACTGCTCTCTATTGTTGATCTTGAGACAATGGTGGAAATTCTTCATCTCCACATTCCCATGCAGTAGTCCCTCGGTTAACAGTGACATCGGTGAACGGTTTTTCGGTTAACGCTTTGCTTCCCATGGAACCCCATGGATTCGACTAACGTTAACATGTTGATGAACGGTATGTTTATGCTATGCACGTGGGTGCCAATTTCGGCCAATTCGAGCGTTTGTAAGTATATATTCGATGCACAGTTATTTCGGTTAACAGTCGTTTTCGTAGAACGGATTAAAAAACGTTAACCGAGGGACTACTGGACTAGTTAATTTACCCCATAAAGATGATACGACCCCCCCCTACGACCAGGATTTAAAGTTTAAAAATTCGGAATGTGAGTCGAACACTCTAAGCCAGCACCACTGAGCAAGATAATAAACAAATGGCCAGGCTGTTGTTTGCCTTTCCAAACTTGTTGAAGCGACATGAAGCCATGTTCATTCATATGTCGGGCAGTGGCAATGAAAGGCACATTCTTGTGCTTGTGATTCAAGGTTTTACATTTACATGTTTGTTTGACTGTCCAGCTAATACATAAAAAAGATTATGCCAAAGAAAAGAATGCAGATATCACATTTTAACGGTTGTGTGCAGTTCATGTGATATATTTAGGGGGTTTTGTTCTTTCATCAAAGTAATAATATACATTTCCTTGTATGATTTTTTTTCTTTTTGATTCCAAGTGCTGTAGAGCTTCATATGGCAAAAATGCAGGAGACTTAAAAAAACAAAATGAATGACAAAATAAGTGTTTTCGCATTTAGACTTTAAGCTGTGACCTTCAAATTACACTTTATATTCGTATACATTTATACTTACCTGGTGCTGTATTGATCAGTCATTTATTTTAGTGCCTCTGACATTTACAAATGATGACCCTGTAAGCCATATTTTTTTACGATAACTGGGCTGGCTTGTTTCCATGGATTTGTACACGTCTGGACAAGATGTGGAGTATTCTGTTTCTGTTCTTCTCTCCACAAAAAATATCACTCAGGAATGTCCCAAAATGTTTAATCCTGGACGCGAGCACTGCCGAGATCCCTAGTTCTAAGCTGGGCGCAGTCATAACATTCTCAAGAAGAGGGACCGTATAGTCACCAACGACTGCACAAAATGAGTAATTAAATTTAGGTTTGACATAAAATTGGATTTTCCTGCTCTCAGAACATTTTGGATGATTGACATGCAACAAACATTCTCTACAGTCTAGTGCCAAGTGAGAGATACCTCTTGAGGTTACTCGAGAAATAGTTACGTGACATCTCCTAGGAACGTTCCATGACCCGACTTTACGGTCTGATGACAGTGAGAATTCCAAGCCGCATATTTCTCATTATTATGACTCTCGTGGGATACTTGGGGATGTGCATCGTGATGCAACGTCCACAAAAAGAAAGCCAGCTCAGTTTGGTTTGGTGATCATATCACTCGAAGGTGTTTTTTTTCTTCCATAACCGAATAAATTTCGTGTTTCTAGGATTGAATTTAAATGTTTTTTTCATAACAGTAACTCCAACCTTATAAATAACCATTCAGAACCATTAATTCTGTATCACCACCCACAAAAAATGTGTTTAGTCTTTCAGTCAATTGGTTATTCAGACTTGTATTAACCAGCAGCACTTGTTTTAATGCGCAAACTGGACCTCTTTTCTCTGTCTGGGACTCGTGGGTGTAGGTAGATGGACTAAAATATCAGTTTGACACTAGGCTTTCACGATCAATTTAATCCATAATACAGGTTTTTTTTTGGGTGAGTTCACGTAAATCTAAAATCATTAAACCCACCACCTCCAGACAGCCAATTATTAGGGTTTGTCACGTAAACAGAACATTCCAATTACTAGTACAGATCTTGACAAACCTTAATACTTGGCTGTGTCGGGTGGTGGCGGGTTTAACGACACATTTATATTTACGCGATGTAGCTAAAAAAAAAGCTGTATTATGAAGGATTAAAATATATTTGTGTGTGAATATACAGATTGAAATGTGACTTATTTTTAATGTGTGACCTGTATGCTCCAAAGCAATACTTGTTTAGGTTTTAATCCAACCTAAAGTTCGCGTTTTTATATATATGTATAATTATACAGCCATCACTGTGCTATGACAATGTGTGTAACAATGTATCTACTAATCGATTCAAATCTGTTCTTACATGCACAATGTCAATTTGTACCTGGAAATAATATACTACTAATGGTATATTTCGCCTAATTATATGGACACAATAAAAAATTACACAGGGAAATAACAGAAACAGTGCAAACAAGACGGGAGAAAAATAAAGAAAATTAAGAATGGAATCCGGATCCAGTGGCATTACGATTTCAGCAAATCACTGAAGGCGGGAATCGGCTGCATGCATAACTGTTCATGATCCTGCTCAAGACTCTTCAAGTTTTGGGTGTGTTTCATGCAATCTCACCATGTTTAAAGTATTGTGAAAACACGCAGCAACACTGACTATACAACCGTCACAACTACAGCACCATTTATTAAGCTCCTCCGTATCAGCAAACACCATTGGCGCAAATTCAGTATTTGTTCTCTGCTTTAAAATTGTTAAACAAAACACAAGCAAAAATACAAAATGAACTTCAACATATTTAACTCAGAAGTTGCTAATATTTACATTAGCAATGCCAGTTCATTGCTTTAAAAAAGTGTGTTCTTTTTTTAATTGGCATGTATCCATCACATGTTTGTAAGTTCTTTAACAATGCTGGCTCATTACTTGGTCACACTGCTGTTAATTCCGATGCTTTAATGGAAATAATTGAGATTCTAGTTGTAGCTGCTGCTGCTTCAAATGAAACATTTTTTCGGACCCCGCCATCCCTGGGCAGTGATAGAGGTTTAAGCTCATGAAAGGAGACTTCTAGCTAGCGGCTGAGTTAGCATTGTCATTTGCACGCGCATTATACTTTGTGAAACGGGGTCCGTGAATTGACGTGTTCCACTTGGAATCGGCTCGTAGAACAATACCACATATTAGGCGACAGTTATACTGTAAGCATGCTGATTGGTAAGATTTAAATTTGTGTCGGAATTGAAGGTAGTTTTATTATGCGGGAAAAGAAAGTGTTAGGTTTCATGGCCAGGCTGCAAGGTTATGTATAAAATGAGAAAAGGTCAGGTTAGGGATGGCAGTCTTTCTACTTTGAAGATTATTATTAACAGCCCAGGAAAGACTTTCACTTATATAGATGAGTTATACGCAATACTGAGAAACGTATAAATGTGTTTTAAGTCTTTTTTTTTACACTGTGCCATGTCGTTTGCGCAAAACCCAGCCGTTCGGCAGCCTGCGCCTTTGTGTGCTTTGCGGTGAGTACAGGTTTGCTGTGTCCGAGCACTTGGAATCCGTGCTCCATTTTTTTTCCATTGTACTCCTTTTATTACGCCAGTGTCCTAATGCCAGATCGTATGAATAACGCGCCTGCCTTTCCTAATGATCCCAGTCCTGGTGCCTTGAGGATATTCGCTGAACGGTTTTTGCATCTGCTAATCCAGAGACTGCCTCGTGCGCTACTTTTGTGCGTGTTTCGTTATTATTTTGCATGCAAAAGAAATGTGTTTTAAGTCTTTTTTTAAGTGTAATAAAATCGAGAGTGAACATGTTTGGTCATGTTGTTTTTCATGTTGAACGTCGACGGCGGTGATTTAAAAGCATAGGCCAATAGCTCATCTCTCACCATCAACAAACACCGTCTTATTCATCATGATCTATCCACTGCTGAATGATCACCAAAACTTCACCATTCATGGTCTTGTGATTCCACAATCTATCTCACTTCTGTACGTGACCTGATCGCATCGCTCCATATCTGTGGCGGTTGTCCTTTTGGGTGTGTTATTTCCTTCGGCTGGCAACCTGTTGCCAGTCTTGTACATCAGTTATCATCACATCTGGTGATGTATTCTGCTGAAGCCAAACTTATCTTGAGTAAATACATCTCATTTGTGCTTGTGTTCTAATTTGTGCATGCCCAGCTCTGAGGGTCAGAACGACTCAAACTCCCTCTGCGTGAATTAAACATATGGACTGCATTGGCAGTAGTGTACAAGCACAAAACAATACAATTTAAAACGCACTACCTTTGTCAAAAATTACATTAATAACCAAAAATACATATTACAAGACTCACATTTCCTCTTACGTTAGGCCATTGTTTGGAACAGCCGATTATATCGTGTTTTTTTCTGTTACAAAGCGGTGTTCATCGTGGAGTATGTAAAATTGTAAATGTCCCAACATATATAGATATATTTTGGGAAAGGATGCAACGTTTCTCTGCAAAGGTGTCCCTTCCAAATTTCATGTACTGCATGTACTGTGATATAAGATGGTTCCTAGTCATAGGACTTTGATTCTTCATTGAGCAGCAGCAAAACAAAGTCACAGAAGGTAAATTGGAAAAACCCCAAAATTATAAATTAAAAGAATCGTGCCCCTCTCGAGAATGTCACAGTATACCCTCTGCAATTATTAGCGTGGCCCTCGCGAGGAAGTGTTCTTAATGACATGCGTTCGCCAAACCCATTCAGCGGGCTGTTATGGAAATTTAAGAGTAGTTCTATTCAAAGTAAGTTCGACTGATTTGGCAAGCACATGTCATCCACTCTCCAGTTCATTTGGCTGCACGCCTTCTAATTGGAAGCCATAATGAAAATACGGAATAAAACATGTTCATGTAAAGTTATTAATCTTCCAAATATAACGATTCTATCGACCTATGAGCTTGTTATCGACAATGCCCACTTCCAACAGAAATGTGCGCACAACTGCTTTTTTTACGTTCGGTGTGTTTTCCTTCCCCCACACCTCCGATTAGCACGGTTGGCTGGCTATACACCGTGCAAAAGAAGTTCAACATACAAAATGACACGAGCCTTGACCTTGAGGTCGCCGATTTGAGATCCCAGTGCAGCAGTGGATGCAACGGGGCACGTTCCTTAAATCCCCCGCCTCTGTGCACCCAACGGTATAAATGGGAGCGCTCCGCTAAGTAAATACAGTCGGCATATTGCATGTGGTGCGGTAAAATGTGGGTACTCCCACCGCTTCTAAGACGTCTGGCCAGTGTGGAAGAGTGGGCGAAAATTATCTACAGAGAGGCTCTCCAGAGCTGCCTCTCGTTGGGGCCCTTGTGCCAACAGTGTGGCCTGAGCAAGAAATTTGCGAGGGATGTACCTTGACCTTCGAATTAGAGGGCTTCACTCACAATCGGAAACTCTGTGTTTTAATGCTGATTGGGGCTGACTCAGCCCGGCATCCGTCCAAGATCGACAATATGACCACCACTTTGTTAAAAAAAAGCCCACAAAGTTTGTGCTGTGGAGCACATGTCCCCCCAAAACAAAACTGCCAATGGACATTTTCATTTTGGTAAAAAGCAATGACTTCTTTAAATACAGTGATTTCCTACATCTACAAAATCAACATTAACTAAGGTATCACTGTATAAACACGTCAAAATAAAATGCTATTATGTTTTAAACCTTTTTTTGCCGTGACAAGAGATGAATGCAAACAATGCATAACAATTCTAGATTTGAAGCTTTTGTGACTGCAAAGATCCATACTCTTTGGTTCTATTCGGTAAAGTCACGTAGGTAAACAAATAAAACAACAGAAATCACGACGTTTCGGCCACAACACAAGCGGCCTTCATCAGGTGAAGGGACCAGACTGTCTCGAGGACAGCGCTGGAGTGAACACAGCCAAGCTCAGACCGCGACCTTTAAGCTGTGTGAGAGGAATCAAGGTGCCTTGACAAAGGAATTAGCATAAAAATTAGCATTTAATTGGCGGACTTAGCATGATGAAAGGTGAACATGTGCAGGTCGGCGGGGGGGGGGGGGGGGATTTCTGAAAAGGGAAGAGAATGGATGCTGCGAAAGTTTGGGGTACCACTATTTGAAAAAATATACTGTACCATTGAAAATTTGTTTAATGTTTGGTTCGATTTAGAACATCTTTCCAATGGTTGCTTAATTTGAAACCATCTTCTTAGTTGAAATTGTGTCTGTGTTTGTAAATCTGAATTGCCTCGTGAACAAATCTCTGATAAAAACCCGTGGGTTTGCAAAGAACCTTGGTATCAGAGAAAATTATATCGTGATCACCCACAGCGTTGTAACAGTGATCAGCTACGGCAGAAGAATTCGTTCTGCCGTGTTTCAAATCTGATTTGTGCTCGCGAATTCGGTCAGAGACATGTCGCTTCATCTCCCCGATATAGCAATCACCGCAGGTACAACTCAATTTGTAAACCCCGGGGTACTCTAAGTCAGGAATGACATCCTTCCTTTTTCAAGGCACCTTGATTCCTCTCACACAGCTTAAAGGTCGCGGTCTGAGCTTAGCTGTGTTCACTCCAGCGCTGTCCTCGAGACAGTCTGGTCCCTTCACCTGATGAAGGCCGCTTGTGTTGTGGCCGAAACGTCGTGATTTTTGTTGTTTTATTTTTTTACCTACGTGACTTTACCGAATAGAACCAAAGAGTATAATGCATAACAAATGCAGGATATTATTTAGACTGATATCCCTTTGCTTCTATAAGTATTATAGCTAATCTAATATTTGAAAAATAGATCACATTATGAGTTGCAAGATGGTATGATCAAGCCTACATTTAGACAACAGTTTCACCAACTATAATTATGTTACGTATTTAAGTATTAGAACATTGCCAGTGAAATATACAAATACACCATGCATAAAGCCTAACATGGAGAGTTTCTAATGCTAATGTGAAGATTTGTTAGCTATGTGACTCTTCGAAGCAGCACTACTTGTTAAAGCAACCGTTCTTTTGATTTATGCAACGTTGGGCTTAATACACATGCTGATGATTGTTCATTTTCGTCTGAATTTTTACCGAAGCGTGCAGCAAGGGCAGCTTCTCACACCATTGTCTCGTGAGTAGAACTCTGAGTAGTGTTCTACCTCCCTGGCCATTTGCTCTTGTTTATCAGTGATGATGGCCCCTGTGCTGGATTTCAGGGGGGCAGTCCTCCTGATGTTTGGACCAAAGGCTTTCTTGATGCCTTCATACATGGTACGGATATTACCAGTGTCCGAGGCGAGTTGGATTCTACTGCTCAGGTTCAGCCAGTAGTTGTTGGCACAGCATCTGGCAGTCGTTTGAACTGCACTGCGGGCAGCTTTCAGAGCCCTTAATGATCCTGTACTTGGGACTTGCTTGTACTTCAGGAGCGCCATGCGCTTGGCTTGGAGGATGGGTTCCACTATAGCCAGGTGTTCCTCAAACCAGTCTGTGTTCTGCCTTGTCGGCTTGCCGAAGGTATTGATGGCTGCATTGAAGATGACGTCTCTGATGTACGCCCACTTTGTCTTCATGTTTCCATATGGTGTGTCGTGTAGAGGCTGCTCAAAGCTGTGTTGGAATGATTGAGTGAGCTCTGGGAGGGCGGTCTAGGCAGAGTTTATGCGTAGGTAGCGCTTTTGTTTGAGTGCGGTGTATCTTTTTGGGGCGTAGTCTGACCTTGGTGGATACCAGTGAGTGATCGGTATCACAGACTGCACTGTTGTAGCTGCGTGTGATGAGTACTTAATTGAGGAGGCCTCGTCAGGTGATGATGTAGTCCAGTTGGTGCCAATTAAGAGACCTTGGATGTCTCCATGACACTTTATGGCAAGGTTTTGTGAGAAAGAACGAGTTTGTGATACAGAGATTGTGGTATGAGCAGAGCTCCAGTAGTCTTTGGCCGCTGGCATTCATTTTTCCGATGCCATGATAGCCAAGGCATGCGGGCCACAAATTGTGGTCAGCGCCAACTCTTGCATTGAAGTCTCCCAACAGAAACATGTACTCAAGAGCTAGGGATTTTGCGACTAATATTGTGACGCTCTTCATAGAACTGGTCATGAATCTCTGCAGGTGAGTAGAGTGTTGGGGCGTAGACACTCAGGATGTTTACATGGCCAGACGCAGTGAGCAGTCTCATGAGCAGAATCTGCTCAGAGCCTGCAGTCGGTGGTTCTATCATGCCAAGGAGTGTGTTTTTGACGGCGAACCCAACACCGTGTTGCCTTGGTTCGTTCTGCTGTTTGCCTTGCCAGTAGAAAGTGCAGTCACTCTCTCGTAGTGAGCCACTGCCAGTGCTGCAATATCCACATGGAGTCTCGCCAGCTCCCTGTCGATAACTGCAGTATTGCAGATGTCCTCAATCTGCAATAGATCTTTGGAGAGTCCAGAACACATTGTACGTTCATTACAGCTTACAAAATGAAGGGCTGGTACCTTCTTTCCTTTTGTTTTGCTTTTGTCTGGTGCAGGTGTTGCAACCCACTCGTCTGGTGATGAACCATAAGCTCCAAGCACCCATTGGAGCAGGTGAGCCATGGCGGGAAAGAATCTTATTGGCCGGGGGCTGCCCAGCTTGAGGCGGGTGGGTGCAACCCGTGGCACCCATTTTTGATGCCAATCCAAAATGAGCTTATAACCCGTGACTGCTGCCATCCGTGTTTCTTGGCCACGATGAGGTGGCCGAGGAGTGTCCTCTCCCAATTTTTGCACCTCTTGTTGGCGCAAAGCCCGGGCAGGTTACTCTGGAAATCCTGGGTTGCCCATGCATCAGGATCCCCCCCTCAGCCTTGCTGGTGAGGTCCAAAGGAGTGCCACGCACGACGTTTGGTACCAGTTTGGCTGCAGGGGCTGCCGGGAATGCGCCGCTGTGCGTCACAAAACCGCCTGAGGGGCCCCATTCCTGATTTTCTGTAGGGGGTTACTCCCTTAGCCATTGACTCTCCCGAGACACTCACAAGGCAGTGAGAAGACCGTGTAACCCTCGGAGGGGCCCTTACCAGGTATTGACAGCCGGGCCAGCTGTGCCTGGGATTCGCGAAAGGCAGGGTCGTCACGCCCTCAGGTAGTTTATAGGACCAAACCATGAAACTCTGGCATCACAAGATATGTGAATCTGGCTCAAGGCCAAGCAGGGCCAGGGGCGGGGTTAATATTTTTTGGCACAGGTGGAAAATAGGTATAATTTGTTTATAATTCTGCTGGGTGGCGCTGTCAGACCAACTGGTCCGTTTCAGTTATCAGCCATTGTTCCCTTTCATCAGATGTAAAACGTTCAGAATTCTCAATCAGGGGGAAATTACCGAGTCAACAATTTTCCACCATTCTTAAGAATCTGGGTCCATTAGTTGGAATCTAATTAGTAATCAGAACCGCATGATGCATAAAACGAGTACCACTCCGTGAGAAGTCAGCAGCGGTCATCCTCAGGAAATACTGGCCCCTGCCATAAGGGGTGCGGAATTTAAACGACAGTGTGAGGCATAACAAATTAGGTAATTAACACCCGATGTTCATGTGGGCATGGGAACGTTTTGTTTTTATTTGTCTAGCTTGTGGTCTCCCAACGCAGGCACAAATGCGGTGACAGGGAGTAATTAATTGCATGTCACGTGATAATATAATCAGGTCAGAATAACTAAGTACTTGTTATCCTGTATTATTATTCTGCTTTCTGTATTTGACTATATTATCATTATTTACATACACATGTTGATTTATGTTTTACCTGTTTTCAGATGTAAATGTTTTCAATATTCAAGATAATAGAAAATGATTGCTCATAGTTTGAGCTAAAAGACAAAGCCAACAATAATACAGCACTGTTGTTTCGGAGATTGGTTTGAAGTTATCATGAAAGTAATCAGATAACGCAAGTAAAATTTAAGAAATATGCATGCTACTTGCATACCTATAGAACAATTAGTAGTGAAATTATTGATTACTGATTTATCAGACGAATTAAGTACTGTTGCACCACTTTGCTAAAGTAACTCTCTCACCACTCCAAAGCATAGATTCCCAAGTATAGCTTTAACAGACTTTTGGGGCAAGTGCTGTTAGCAAGCACCCAAGGGGGTGGGTGCCCAGCACCACGCCTGGCCACCTTTGTCTCCCTCGTGGCGATGTTTTACACATAGCAACCTAGGGGAGGCCCAGGACCGGTCCAGATAATCGTCACCGGTGTTGGTGGCTGTGAGCGGGAATCGACCTCGGGTCGCCGGGGTTCGTCTCGCCCTGGGTTTTCACCCATCGTTTAGGAGCGACCTCAATAGCTGGGCGACTGTCAATGTCTCTCTCTCTCCTTAGGTGCCTGGAAACACTGGCCTCAGCAGTGTGCATGAAAAAAACGTACACATTCGGTTTTGTGTGCCGCTTGGGAAAGGTGTGCACCCCGGCCCCTTTTGTGTTTCTGTACTGGTTGCTGGGTGTTGAAAATATAAATAAATAAAATAAAAAAATAAAATGTCATTCTGCAACCTTGATGTGAAACGTGAAGATACAAAGCATATCGGGCAGCAGAAGCGTGCATCTATTCGCATGACGTACGCATTTACGATCATGACATCACAAACTGGGTTTTCAATTAACTATGTTGTCATTGGATAGGAATTTGTTCAAAAATAAGATTTTACAAACATTGAGTCAAGAAGAATTTCCAAAAATGTTATTCTCTTTGTATGCAGGCTCAAAACCTCCACGTCGTTTACATAGCTATTCAGAATACAGTGAATGTGTTTTAAGTCGAAATAAGTTAGGCGTGAAAGAGTCCATCCAATCACGATGCTTATATACTGTATTAATCACGACTGTAAAAATTATAATGAATCGATCACAGTGGCTGTTAAAGAGTTTTGGGAAAAGTAAGTTACTCAACTTATCCAAATATAACGTTGATTTAAATAAGCGTCGTGGTTTCACCGAGTCAACAGAACCCCAGTAAGTCATGGTTTGTGAACATCAACATGGTCACAGTCCAGCGAACAGAGAATAACTCAGCTGCCATCCCCACATTCTGTGCCATGTGGTTGGTAACTACATGCACATAGTCGTCGGGCACTCCGAGCCATTAAAACATCAATTCCTATAAACATCCAGGTAATACGCCGAAGAGAACAATCAAAGCTGTGATACCACTCTGCACTCCGGACACAGGGCCGTCCCGGCAAACATGTCAACGTTGGGCCAATGTTGGCATCTGGTCGAAACCATTGGACGAACGTCGGGTCCAACGTCGGCCCAACGTTCTATGTTGACCCAGGGTTAGTGCTCGTTCACACAGTCCGCTGCATCTCCACGCTCTCGCTCTGCGCCGCCTGCCCCTTGCCGCCGTTGAGCTGACACTCGGCCGAGCGCTGCCTCTTCCGGAGGCACCACAGCCCGAGCACGACCAGAGCCACGAGTGCGCACACGGCGACCACGGCCCCTGCCGCCACCACCAGCGTGCGCTGCTGCTGCTGGTGGCCCCCAAGCGCGCACAGCGGCCCCACGCAGGCCTGCGGCGGCGGCGGCGGCGGCGGTGTCGTCTGCGATGCACGGCCGCTCTCGCCCGCCTGGACGGTGCGCGCCTCGATCGCGCGCTCCGCCGAGGGCCACGGGAGCCCCTGGCCGGGCCGCCCGCTCCCCACCGGCTTCATCTTTGCCCGGCGTCCGCCCTCGCTCTCGGTGGCGAGGGCGGACGTCGTGGACCGCGTGCCGCCTTCGGGCAATGCCACCGTGCCGCCCCGCCGCGGCGCCGTTGTGCGCGGTGGTGGCGAAGGCGACAGGGAAGCCGGCGGGTTGCCGCTGCGCGCTGTGAAATCGGTCGGCGCCGGGTGGAGGTTCGCCGCATTCGTGGAGGCGATGGGGAAGCCCACGAGGTCGGAACGGAGGTCTTGCGTCGTGACGGGCATTGCGGACGAAACTTCTGCGACGTAGGGATGGGAATTAACTTGCGTTGCATTCGGTGGAGATTCGTACGTTGGGAGCACCTCCGTTCCTTTATCTCCTTCCTCGGACGTTGCAGATGGCAGTCTCTCCCCACGTAGCCAGGGGACATTTATGGGCATTTCTTCAGTCACCGTGACCCTCCTGTTCTCCCAAACCTTGGTGCTGAGACCTCGTGAGCCCGTTTTGATGCCAACACTGTTGGTAACCAACGAGAAGTCAGGAGGGCGTCTGCTTCCTTCCTCTTTCTGCTCCCCCTCCTCCTCTTGCTTATCATATTCCATATTTTCCTGCAGAAGCTCCACTAAGTGACCGTGCTCAGATTCATTGGAGGCAGCAACGAACGAGACTTCCCTTTCGGCCGCGCGTGTCTCATGCAGCGGATTGAGCGGGCCCAGTCCTTCTGCAGGAGTTGGACTCTGGGATCCATGCGTTGCCTCGAGTTGAGCAGCCCAGTCCGTGACGCCCACCTCCTCGACGTTGTAGTCAAGGTGGATGGCAACGTGTTCTGTTACGGGCAGATAAAACCGGACACACATTGGACTGTGCTGTTTTTGGCACAAGTAGTATTTTGGAAGCGTTAGTGTACAAATTGCATGAAACTGCACAGTTTGTTGTCCCATAATGCAGCCACGTGGTTTATGAATCATGAGCACATGGAGCCAAAAGGTGCGCAAGGTGCTCACCTATATTTTGACAGGGCGGTGCCTGTATGACGTAGTGCAGCAATGGATTTCAATGTGGAATGATGTAACTACAGTAAATACATCGGAATCAACGTAAGCAATTTAATGTCCAGTGTAGAAAATGCCAAAGTATTGACGCGACCTCCTAGGTCATTGCACATGGGAGATTTTTACGCTGGATCCTAATTGGTTCGCACCTCCTCCACCGGGCCAGGGAAGAGCGCGCTGCTCTTATATAACTTTTCCTTGTCTTTCGACCACTAATTGCCAGTCTAACGCCTGTCTCAGTAACCTCACCCTCCTCCACCTTGCATGTGTGCCCCCACCATCGATAAACTTCTCTTCACAATCACTACAATGTTTTCGAGCCGAAATCTAGCCGAGCTTCCAAGCTGCTTACCTTCCCCTCACATGTAATTCTTAGCATGCTCCACATGCAACAATATACAGAAGGCAGGATGTTATTTTAAAGTTGCTTTGTTAATTTCCAGCTCTAAAGATAAAGGGCACGTATTATTACTTAGGACACGAATGCGAAGAGCAGTGTTGGGACTGAGCGCTGTCATTTTGCGCAGCAGTTGCCAAAGGCACAATGACGCATGTGACATATGTCGCATCAACGCTGTGCCCCAATGTCAGTGAAGGCCACTGATTTGTCTTTCACATTTGAGCGTGAAGCCTTGTTAAAAGAAGGCGTGGAGTAACCAACCAGGTGAAACATGCTGTGGTAGCAAATGCAACAACGCTACAATGTCCCTACGTGCTCAGGCGAAATTGGGATATATTGCCCATTTTTGCCGTAAATGTTGAAATATGAATAACGATTGAGTTTAGCATTATCCAACTTTTTTATGGAAATCGTGGTCTGACTAAGCAATGTACTGTACTTAAAACGTTTTGTCATTTTCCATCATCTGAGCTTGGTGGTGCATGCCTGAAATCCAGCGCTTTGGTGTGTTTACATTGCCGTGGCAAGGATCAACCTTCCCATAGGAGGACCCACAAAGTCAGACTCAATTAATCAACCCCATGACCTGCATTTGAACTCGAAACTTAAACTGGACTTTACATTTTTAATTGTGAGTAGGGCTTTCCTACCCCACTCGGTCACAAATTGGAATGCTCGTTAGTTATTTGAGATTAATATGAATAAAGTAATTCTATGAGTTACTTGACAACACTGTACAGAGCGCAATTGAAATAAAATGACCAATGAATCAGCTACCGCGCCATAACAAGGACCCTCTGCTTAGATAAGTCAAGTAAAATCACGGTGGGCCCTGGCTCATGTGAGCAACTGGGGCAGCCCGAAGTCAGCATTGGAAATTCCACATTCCCATTGTGGGAACCAGCCTATCCATTGCACAACCACCGTTGTAGAAGCCTTCTAATTCAAAAGGCAATGTCCAATTGTGGCAATAAGGCTCTTTTGTACAGGAATCCTCATAATTGGTGTTTGAAAATATCCCCAAGTGGCACTGAACCTCTTTACAATTTAATACAGCTACTTGATGCTTTATAAATACATGGGAACATTGTTTATTCATTGAAGAGCCCACTGAATTATGTCGTTCAGCAAATGCACAATCATTTATTCGAACCAAAGCTCAGTATAGGAATCGTGCCAATGCACATCTAGTTAAAATTCTAAGAGATCTAAATGTACTATGTGCATTTGTGGTATTGCTGGATCACACACACACACTATTGCATGCATGGGATTCGATATGCACAGGGCTGAGTTGGTGAGTAAATGGTAGTACACGATGTAGGTTTATTTTCCATATTGATGTATGACTTCAGGTCTACAAAGTGGCCAGTCGATAATACAGCGAGTAGGCTGATGACTTATCTGCACAGATTGCTATGTTTATCTGGGGTGATCAAATACATCATCATTCATATTAAGGCAGCCACATTGTGTTTCTAAATTCCATGTGGGCGTCGACTAAATAGACTCAGCTCATTCAAGTCAGTAAAATAAGTAGATTTTTTTAATGGGAAGTCAAACAATGGTCCATCGATGGATAGATTTCCCCCCACCAGAATATTGTGGAATCTGCACCTCTGGTTCATGGAAGTCAATCGTGATGAACACCACCTTTTGATGTGGATATATACACGTTGATTTTAAGTGACTACAGGATATGGACGTTGAGTTTCCCACCTACATCTTCTAGGGTTAACGCCGTCTTGGGTTGACACCAAAATAACCCCACCAACATTAATTGCAGTATTTGGTCTATACCCAGCCGTCGTAATGGAAAATTACAAGTCCTGATAAAAAAAAAACATTCGCCCTGCAGTCCATGTTAACTGCATATTCACCTCAAAATACCACTGCCATTTAGGTTTAAACGACACGGAAAAGTGTCGGTAAATATGTTTGGTGTTCTGACAAACGCTGGTATGGCATATGTTCATACATCGGCTCATTTCGATCACTTTTCCAATAAACTAGGTCATTTGGCTAAGTCAAGTGACCAGAAGCCTCCGTTGTCACACAAAAGCCCGTGAAGCTTCTCTGTGCCGTGTTTAATAAGCGTGGTGTCGCTGAACCCTGAGGCCCTTATGACAGCGCTCGGGCCTGGCACTCGACTGTGAGCTGCTTCATGCTCAGCTCTAATGAATTGGTGGCTTGGAGGGTAGGTGCGAGAAGCGTCATGTGCATGCGGCTGTGACCAGCTGCCACAAAGACGTGCACGATATTTATAATAATATTTCAAAGAAAGCTTGCACAAGTTTTCCCTTCGCTGAGACGACTTATCAGTAATTCGTGGTCTCATAAACCAATGCCATTGGATAACCTGATGTTACGGGTGGAAGATTTACAAAAAATATGGGCCACAGACTAATGTATATAAAAACATATTTTTTAAGCAATCAATTCCATTACACGTGCAAATACAAAATCTATATATTTTTTGTCAATTTCAGCATGTGTGCCAGCTCATATAAGCATTGGGTGTGCTTTTCTCAACTGGAGACCCAGAGCTAGATATGTACAGGCCATATTTACGTGGAGGAGACCAGTGTCTATATTAGACATCCACCGTTGACACTCAAATAATGAATACTTTTTAAAAATAATTTCTGGAGACATGATACACCGAGTCAGTCCCTGATTAGTGAATTCCTGGGTTTAAATTCACAGCCTGCTAATTGTTGTATTAAATATTCTACCTGCAGCACTGTCAGTTTATAAGTCCTTTATTCAAGAAAGCCTCAATGAATCTGTGTCCTTTTGCAGATGAGTCCTACATATGGATATTGGGTCAATTACCTAATTATTGCAAGGATATTGGAGTATCTGGAATTAATCCCCATGCATTTGCTGAGTTAGCTACTCACTTGTCTGTACAGCAGAAGAGAGTACAAGCTGGAGGTTCCGATATGACAGATGCTTAAACAATATGAAGGATACGTATTCTTGGTTCTTTCTGTAAAGTCACGTAGAAAGAACCAAGAATATGAATCCCTGCAGTCACAAAAGCTTTTAATCAAAATATGAAGGAAAAATATATTTGATGAGTCAATCTACAGTGTATAGTATTGCAGTAGTGCTATTTATGGGAAATCTGAATGGAAAAACATTACATTTGTTCTTAGATGCTTCAAAGTACAGTCAGATGCTTATACAATAAATTTGTCCCGTATAAAGAATACATATTTTAAGATTCGAACTTTCCTGGATGTATTTAGGACAGTATAACTCTATTGGCATTTCAAATATGTTCATCATGTCTGTCAGCACAAATATGGCAGATCTGAGTTGAAATATTCAATATTTTAGTCTCAAAGATAGCAGCTATGGGTACAAAGATGGAGCCTATAGTTTCACATATGGTGGTTCAAAACATGGCAGAAATTGATTCAAAGGTTGTGTCTGTGGTTGCATGTACGTTGAACTTCTTTCACACCGTACGGAGCGAACCGTGCTAACCGGAGGTGGTCGTTATGGTTGCTGTAGGTGCTGTAGGTAAAGTGACAACCGTGGTTCAGGCTGTACGGCATGCATGCCTACCGGGCACGCAGGGCCGCACGGCTCCCTGCCACTGCCCGCACTGGGGATCGCACGCCAGAGAGAAGGAGCGAGCTCCTCCAGCCATGATATGGCCGTCCTGGCAGACGTAGTGCAGCTCCGCCTGCGACTTCTCCCTCTGCCCCATCTCATCCTCATCCAGACGTGCAGACGGGAATACGGGAGGGTCGCCACATGGCTGTCCTGCATACACAAGCACCACGGATTCATGTAGGTGGGCAGCAAGAGGACACGTTTGTGGGGCACGCACACTGGCAGAGGCAAGCATGTGTAGCTTCAAAGATGTGCAAACTGTATAGGCAAATTGACGTTCGTGAGCACCTCTTTATGCCGGAAGAGCACACGGTAGAGTTGTGAGACAAGCACCACGCATGCCCAGACGAAGGTCATCTTAGCTCACCAACACTGACCTGGTGTTAAATCGAGTACCCCGTGTGGGTAGCTGACAGTGGTCATCCTATGGAGAGGCTGGCACCTGACATGAAAATTATAAAATTCCCACCACTGGCTCCGAGCTACCAATAGGGATTGAGAAATGTTCTATGGCACAGGATGGAGACGCTCTATTTTTGATAAATGTTAATTCAGGCACTCTTAATTAGAAAAAAATGTATTGCTAATTATGTGTATGAATTCTTCTATTCACATTGTAAATAGATTCACTTCCGGGAACCCCATATTTTCAAATGCGTTTATAATAAGCATTGCTTTGAGTGCTTTCTTATTGTTTTAAGAGGGTGGGGTGGGTGGAGACCGGAAATGGCCCTTAAATCCCAACAAAATAATCAAGTGCTGCACTATGATGATGGATAAACATTACAAATACATTCATAATTATCGGCGGCCCTGAGCCAGCGAAGGAAAGTCCACATTCCCATGGCTGGGGTGAGTCTAACCAGAGGGTGATTACAATTGGTAGTCCACAATGTATTATTTATTGATTACACAGCGATCATAGGCCGAATGAAACATGAACCAGACATTGAGCAGACATCCTTCAGATGATGAGTCAAGCTCTCTCACTGCAATTGCTACCCAGCCAGAGAGACAGGCGAACACATGTGTATATAGGTAGATGGGTAGGCAGATAGACAGACACATAGCTCAAGCAAATACGGACATGCCGATAGACACAAAGGTGAGTAGAAAGCTTTGTACATAAATTACGATAAACCTGCTCACAGATTTATCAAATCCTATCAGGAAGATTTCGAATCTTCTTAATACTGCAGATCAATTGCGCCACATATATGCAAGAGTAGGAATGCTATGATTATTGTTTTAACTTGGTTTCCTAAACTTAATGAGCGCAATCTGATAATTGTACTCCTAAGATGCAACAGAGGAGTCACATCGTTGTGTTTTTCTTTGCAGTGTGTTTGTTTGTGCTGTGAGTTTCCCATTAATGCAGAATGTTAAAACCAACATGCATTGCCTAATTGCTTCTTAAAACACGGAGCAGTGTTTTAATACAGCGTTCCTCAGTCATGTTCCACAAATGTAGATGCAACCCTATACATGATTCTACCACTGATACAACAATTATTTATTAAACGGTACAGTGTCCACACACTCAAATGAGTGCGCAGTAATGTTCATTTCTGTTGGCAGACCACAGCTACTGGTAGACATTCCACATTCTCATGGTGGGGATCAGTCTCTTGACCAATCGCTCGGATTTGAACGTTTGATTTTGACCTCATGGCCTTCGTGACAGCTACTCAGCTGAAAGTTACATTAATGCATTAGTAATAATAATAAGAGTCCCTTCCTGTATATATCCAGGAAAGCCTCACCGAGTCTAAACACCCTGTCAGGAGGGTTATTTCGAGGATGTTCGGCCAATGCCTTAATTAATTTAAAATGTGGGAGCCACGGTATCTGGAGAGAGAGAAAAAAACACTTCATACGAGGAAACGCAGCTCAATGTAAAATCACGTGGATAGATCAGCACTCTCCTCGCCGTAATTCCACTGGCCGGCGTCGATCTCCTTGTAGCCTAGCAGAAGGAGAGTCTTGTAGAGTCAGCGACGATCTCCGTGTGTGATCCATTAACCCTGCATCCAAGTGCCATACCGGGCAGGATGAAGCAGAATGCGAGGCTGGAGGTCAGGCCCCTGGGGCGGCTCGTGACTCCGGCCACTGGGCCTTGGGGTGACGGCGGTGGTGGCCGGGGAGGCAGCGGCACGTCCTCCTGTAGGTCTTCACTGCTGTTCCCACAGCCGGCCGTCCTGCTCAGAGTGAGGGGCAGGATTCACAATAAAGGATTTTTTGGGGGGTTAGATCGCATCAATTGAAATGTGTCATTAACCCACCGCCGCCGCCGCCGCCACCACCCAACACAGCCAATTAGTAAGGTTTGTCTCGTGAACAAAACGTGCCGATTAGCGATTACTTCAGCACATCGGTGTGATGGCGAGTAAACCCACAACATTTGCGCTTGAGTACGACGCTTCACTGGTAATTACAACCAGCTAAATCATGCGATTTTCCAGAATTGTGTGGTAGGTTAACGACACACTTATATTTATGCGATATAAACCCAAAAAACATTTATTATCAATAATATTGGTTGCGAAAGCCTACGTGTTAAATTGAGGGGTAGGAGTTCCTTAAGGAGCAGGCGTTCAACCGTTTTGCATCGAGTCAGAGGATCTGACTTGTATTCCCATTGCGCTATCTGTATCATGTCATGAGATGAAAAAAATGTGTAGATGGAGCTCTCACGGAGAATTGCATCACCTGTGTTAGGGAATTGCCTGCTGAAGATGATATTACAAACTATTAATGAGATCCCCCCCAAGCAACACCCGCGTGTTGCTGCAATGTCCCATTTGCTCCACGAAAGAGACGTTCATCACGTGGCAGTAAATCTGAAATTTTATAATTTTCACAGCTGAAAATGTGCAAAATTCCGTGAAATGTTAAATGTATTATGTTTACCAGTTTGATGACAACTGGACTTTCCAACAACCCCAGAGGAATGATTGGCTGCATCGACCCATGATGTTTATTTGAACTATGTGCTGATTGATTCTTCTTGTCCATTAACCCCCCCGAAATATTAATGCCGTCCTTCTGCGTATTACTATCCTAATGTCATAAATCAGATGAATCTATATAATTTTCTCCAATATTAAAACAAATGTAAATTTCATTTGTGGCAGATTACTTTGTTTATTGACTACGAGCATACACATATATATTGCCTCTCAAATCCCTACTCCTATTTAGAAGTCTGCCACGATCGTTTTCAAATCATTTTCACTTGGGTGTGAGGTCTATCCCTGCGTGATGGAAGCTACACAAACACCAGCTTGTATGTGGATTTTTCCTCCTGTTGTGCATAAGTTTTGATGATTATCATAATTTTAACGACAAATTCACTACATGTTTCAATGTGCAACCTCCAAAAACACATTTGCAAACGTATACGGAGAGAGACTGACAGTTTTTGTGAGAACATAAATCCACTCAAAGTAATTACAGTACTTTCCAATTAAAAAAAAAAACATTGTGAAAGTGAAAGCACGTAAAAATGCATTCATGAAACAAAACGGCAAAATATATTATTGTACTGTACCTCTGTGCATCGACTAGCACGGCCAAGTATGGTAAATTAATCCTCACAAGCAATTGGAAGGCCCTCGTCCAGAAGTGGATTGACAAAAGGGATGTACATTTACATAAAATGACAGTGGTTTCCTTAAATACAAGTGAAAGCCACTTGCTTTAATACGTTGGAAAAAAAAACTGAAAGGCAACTGATTACAGTTAATAAAAAAGGTTCCAATGAACTGAATAGCAACTGATTGACTACGTTACAATGAAGTTGAACGGAAATAACTTTAAGAAGTCACAATTAAAGTTAATCGCAATTGCTTTAGCAGTTAGCTGTGACACTGAATCGCATTTGGTGGAAAAAAAACCCGCAGTGAAATTAACTGGACATCGGTTCACGGGTTCGTTGAGGTGGAAATTAAGCGCTCTTCATGGGAAAGCGCTTCGGTCTGTGCGCTCGCTCACCTGAGGCCGCCGTCGGACAGCCATGCCGGCCGGCACTCAAGCAGGCCACACTTGGACACGAAGTTGCTCATCTCTGCCAGTGTGGAGAGGCGGCTGCCAATGGAGGCGCAAAGAGCCTCGGCGCCAGACACCTCCATCCCACCTGCCGCTTCGGCCACAACCACCCTCCCTGAGTTATTCAGATGGCAACAACAAAATTCCCCAAAATAAATTTAGAGACCGTGCAAGTCAGCAACCCAGAAGACCTATGGGTCTAAATGTGTGTTGTTGTATTTTACGATGGTGACACAGACAAGGGTCTCTTAATGTGTTCGTTATTGCCCACGGTCCGTACATACAGCCATGCAATCCACCAAAATAGATCAAAATAAACGTGCATTTTTTTCTGCACTCGGCTAAACGGGCTCCAAAGTTCGTAGATAGATCTTACCCTTAACACCATGAAACCCTGAAGCTTTTGCTTAACAGTACCAGCACTGCTGATTAGACTCAGAAAGTGAAAATGGCTCAGAATTTGCGAGCATCAATGCTGCTAGAAATATTTTTTTCAGAAGATCCATAGGTTGATGGGCTTAAATATTGTTTCGTTCACATTTTTAGGTGAATAAATCGACCTTTGCCTGTTTCAGTTATTTACTATTCTTCATACAGCAGAAATAATTATCCGAATGTACACAGGGAAGTCTGGTGTTTTGACCACAAACCAATACCGAACAGCATCTTAACCTAACGTTAGTCCTGGAAACACAATTCAAATACACCAAAGAGAAACAGAATATAGAAATGTATAAAAGAGCAGCAGAAAACAAAGCAAATCAATAAATTATTATGAAACTAGTTTGTGTTTTTGTGGAAAGGTGGCAGAATTTTTTGTACTTTTTGGATCTTTGTTCTATTAAACAACATGTCATTTTGAAATTCAAAGATAACGTTAAACAAATTTCACGTGAAAACGATACGGCTTCTTGGTGCATTATATTAGCCAGAGCCAAAGTGGTTGAATGATGAGGCTTGAGAATGACATCTCAGAAATAATTAGTAACTGAAGTCACCTCACTTTTTAAGGGATGCCTTTACTTTTGTAATTATAAAGTAGCCAAGTTGACCTCATATACCGATGTACATTATTTTATCTGGAGCCAGGTGGGGAATGAAGATGAGGCTTGAGAATCGTTTTGAGATAACATTGCGCAGATTCAGTGGGTACGCTGTCCAACTGCTCAGGCAGTGATTCTTTACTCTCGACATCAGACAGAAGACCTGTGGCACTGTGGTTCGAGTATCCAACTGACAATTGAGTCATAAGTGCAAATTACAATTGGGAATTGACTCAAGCCAACATAACTGTAGAGTCAATCGAATTTGTATCACTGTGACGAAAACAAGGGTCGTCGGATGGGGAAAATGGCCACCCCCCCCCCCCGAGGAATGTGGAATTTGCACCGTTATATCCAGACCACTAACGAAGATTAACACTGCCTCACAACTGCTTGGGCAGGGAGCCACTTTACTTTGACAATGAGGCAGCTGGTTTCACAGTGGTTTGCACGATCACAACTGAGGTAGCCACATCCACTGCTCTGTAAGAAATACAAATTCCTTTGAAATAAATTGCGTCTCACTCTGAACCCACGATCTGTAATATAATTCAAAAGTAGGCCATTTCACACCCATCATCACGTTTCCTTGCTCAAGTGAACACAAGGCAGAGTAAATTTTCATTGGAAGCCCTAAGCAAGCTGTGGATATTCCACATTTGCTTGACATAGACCACTCCCTGCTTTAGAATTCCCAGGTAGTGGTACTCCTGTTGATCCCCAGAGGGATAATGAGTCAACCACCGACTGGAATATAAACTCGAAACATTCCAAATAATTGTAGAGTACTTTACCACAGTGCCACCCGATTGGAAAAAAATAATATTGTGATCAATGTCCCATAAACCAATTTGGCCACCTGCCTGAGTCACCTAGAACTGGGAAATATCATGTGAGGTTCATCGCGTCTCAACCCGCAGCCTCAAATCACTACCGCTGCACTTAGAAAATCCCCAGTGATACTTATTGCCAAACTTTACGAATCTCAATCCCGCCATCTCCGTACACTCACCTCCATTAGCAGAGAAGGCAGCACTTAAACTGCCTAGGCAGGCCAGCCACACCAAGACGCAGCAGCATGTCCCAGCCATGTCTGCACCTCCAGCTACACAGCAGCGTGAGTGTGCGTGATGCGTACTCACTGACGGCCAGCCAGTCACCAATGCCTAGCACCGCCTTTGAACAGCCAGAATTAATGAGCCCTGCAAGGGGTGGCATGAAACTATGCCGTGGGTGGGTGGGTGGCTGCGTCTCGGTGGGTGGCTGCATTGGTGGGTGAATGGGTGGGTAAGTGGGTGGGAGTGTGAGTAGGATTCTGAAAAATTACACCAACTAGCAGCCAGTGTTGAGGAGTAACGTACGACAAGTAATTATTACTGTTTTTACCAAATAGGTGCAAATTGATCTGTAGGTATTATTCCACTCTCAGTGTACAATAAAGTTATTGGTAATTGTGTTGTGCCTTACTTTTTTCGATATGCCACTGTTATTTCAAATACAACATTTGAAAAACTGTTTGCAGCAACATTTTAGGTAAATGTGATGATGGCAGAAGCAAATAAATGCAGATCACATATAAATCACACATGTGTAGTATTGGTATAGTATTTCCAAGGTATAATCAACAAAATGTTTCACAATTATACATTTTATATATATTTTAAGTAATTAAATTATAACGCTTTTAAAGATACGAATTACCATGGTGTTCTGAAAACCTCACCACATCAATAGTCAACGGACACTTTTCAAGAGCCATCCTGCAAACACTGGCAAGAACATTTAGATAAGCAAAGTTACCCCACATAGCCTTAACAGATGCTTAGGCAAGCACTGTTAACTATTTAAACAATTTTTCATTTTAACCAGGTAAGGCCCACTGAGCTATATAGTTATTTTTCAGAAGCGACCTGGTCTCAAATAATAATAGCTCAACGAAGTGGCTCATTTTAACACGTAGGCTTTCGCGACCAATATTATTCATAATAAAGGTTTTTTGGGTTAGATCGCGTTATTTATAAATGTGTCGTAACCCTCCATCGGGCATTCTGGCGAATTGCATTCTGGCGAATTGCCCGATGGTGCTGGATGTATTTACCAGCGAAACGTCGTACTCAAACTGTAAATGTTGTGGATTCACTCTTCAACACACCGGTGGGCTAAAGTAGTTAATTATTTGTCTTTTGTCAACGTGACACTTTTTTTGCTGATTGGCCGTGTCGGGTGGTGGAGGATTACGACACATTTATAAATAACGCGATCTAACCCAAAAACCTTTATTATGAAGTGGCTCATCATGTGGACAATTTTAGCAGCCAAATACTCGAAACGCATGTTCATTTTCAATGCGGAGGGAAAACCCGGAGGACCCGGAGAAAAATCTACGCGACGACGGGGAGAACATGCAAACTCCATATATACAGGCGTCAGGGTCGGGATCGAAGCTACACACTCTGGTATACCAGGCGAGGTAGTTAACATCTCGCTGTAGTGAGCACATTTTTATGCCAGCAGAGCGCACGAGGGCATGGTGTGGCCAGCACCAGTCCTGACGCCGCCTTTGTCACCACAGTGCCAAAGTTTACACACCACGCCAGGTAATCAATCAAGAGTGAATCAACCTGGGCGAGGCCCAAATGAATTGCAATATTCACCGCTATACTGCATACTGTATTATTTTCGCCGTGATCGGGAATCGAACTCGGGTGCCCAGACTGCGCGTGCATGTCGTGTGAGCGTGCGAGTTGGCACGGCTTTGACAGTGAACACCAGCACTTTAGACACCTTTTCCTGGGCAGGGCAACCTCAGGAAATGAGGCAATGTTTGCAGCGTGCGCTCCTCGCCAATAAATGCACAGTGCATTATTTACGCAATCTGGATGGGTGGAGCTCTGATTAGAGTGCTTTACTCATAATTGAAAACTTGGCATTTGAAATCCTGACTCAATAAATGAGTGCCTCTTTGTGGAGGGTTGATGACAGTACTTGTCCTAGAGAGCCAATAGCCACAGTCATATGAATGTGGAATTTGCATCACTGGCTCAACACCACTGACAAAAATAAGTGCCACACCAATGTGTGTTTCAGCGTGGAGTCACCTTAATAATGACTTGGCTGAAGATGCCTGAATAGCCAATTGATTGTTTTATGTTTGGAAGAAAATCTGGATAAAACCCTTCCCTTTGAAAGACGAATATTCATACCCCCACACATATAAGTCAGAAATCTATTTGCTGCTGGCAAAGCAATAATTTTTTACTCTTTGGCTCTATTCGGTAAAGTCACGTAGATAAAAAATAAAACAACAAAAATCACGACGTTTCGGCCACAACACAAGCAGCCTTCATCAGGTGAAGGGACCAGGCTGTTTCTAGGACAGCGCTGTCCTTGAGACAGTCTTGTCCCTTCACCTGATGAAGGCCGCTTGTGTTGTGGCCGAAACGTCGTGATTTTTGTTGTTTTATTTTATTTTTTACCTACGTGACTTTACCGAATAGAACCAAAGAGTATGGATCCTTGCAGTCACGAAAGCTTTAAATCTAGAATCAATTATTTTTTCTTGGAAGGTGGTACATTCATATCTCAGTACAGCCTCAAATCAGGCCACCATATCTCTATTTAGTACAACTTTTAGGAAAGCTGTTCATGGTTTTCCTACAGATTAACTGACCTCCGTTAGGGGCTATCCATTTTGTACGTACGCATGGAGGGGGAGGGTTGTTAACCCAAATGCGTACGCTGGCCTATGGGGCTCTACTGACAATGTACGTACGCATAGGAAACGGTGGGGGGGGGGGGGGGTGAAGCCTCGATAATAATTTGTCTACATTGGCCTTCAAATAAGTTAGATAGTCCGGCGGTAGACTATCTGTTAAAAGACGTTAATATTCATTCATCCTTAATTGTTTCTGCGTGGATTAAATATCGGCCGCTCTATAGGATTCGGGGGGGTGCGTCAGGCGTACGTACGCATGTTGGGTGGGGGTGTAAAAAGTACGCGTGCGTACACGGAGGGGGGTTAAGTTTTGACAGATTTTTGCGCACGTACTAAATGGACGGTCCCTTATGGGGATGTGGAATTTCAACTGCTGATTTAGGGCCACCAATAGATCCACAACTCTGCCTCCAAAATCACGGAGTAACAGTCGCCACGTAGTCGTTAATGCAGTGCTGTGTAAATTCAAAGGCAACTTCACATCGCATGAGGAATCTAATGAGACATCTCCGTTGTTGTGGCTATTATATTAGCCACGGTGGCAATATCTTAACTACCTCGCCTGGTATACAGGAGGTAGTAGATTCGATCCCGACCCTGACGCCTGCACATTTAGAGTTTGCACGTTCTTCCCGTGGTCGCATGGATTTTTCTCCAGGTCCTCCGGTTTTTCCCTCCACATTTATAAACATCCGTTTAGCGTAATTGGCTGTTATAAACTTTCACGTGATACGTTGAGCTATCAATTGTGGCCAGGTCACTTTTGAAACAAAGCTATATAGCTCAGTGGGCCTTATCTGGAAAAAAATAGTTTTAGTTTAAGTTTGTCATTATGCAATGAATTGCAGTGTACATTGGTCGTCACCAGAGAGCACCATTAGCCCATCACACTCTGCACGAGGTAATGCTCAAAGGACCTCGTGACTCGAAACACACGTGGTGAATAAAACACTGAAGTAACGTTCATCGGCCCGTGAAATATGCACAGAACGCAGATTTGCATATAGATTTCATGACACACGTTAAATTTGCCTCTGAATGTCCTTTGCAAGCCTTTGAATGCACAACCATTGTGGACGGTATACATATCACAAATGGTGAATGGGCAAATTGGCAGATACACAAAGCAACATTTTGGACAACATGATTAGAAGTGCACACTTATTCCAGTGACATCTGGTTGCTGTTTTCCATTGAAGTACATGTGTGTATTCAGTTTTCAGACGGGCTGCTGCATGCCTGGTGGCAACCCTAGGGTCCTCCTTTTCAAGTATCTGTCCTGAGAAATCTGCAAGTCGTCCCGGGACATAAAAAATGCCGGATTTATGGGAGCTGTGTAGTAATACACCACTCACTCCAGACAATGCATTTACATGTTGTTCTCTGCTCTTCTATTACTGTCAAATATTCTCCTCATGACATGTCCCTGTTTTATTGTACTCAGAGGTGGCAATTCGAGTTCTAGGTGATGTATTTGTAGATGTATGTTTCAGATGCCTGGGGCACCTAGAGATAAATAACGCCTGTTTTCCTGAGCTGTAATTTTACTTAAGAGGTTTAATTTTCAAAGGATTATTTCACAAGTGGAATGAATGTAGAGTGCTCAGAGAAACCCACAACAAATCTGCACAGGCTTGTCAGAAACCTTAGTGTTCTGCTGCAATCTCCTGGCAACCTCATACAGATTTCAATCTCAGAGCAAACGATTATCTCTCTGCGTGATCCACCAACCCACACTGCCCATGCCCCCAACGTACTGTGCGCCATCATGCTCCATCTGTGGTGGCTAATTTATTGGGAGGCCGTAAGCAAAAATAATTTGTGGGGGGCTTCCCTTTCATTTAATAAAAATACCAGTGAGATAACAGAACAGATATCGGCAAGATATATCAACGGAGTGAGAAAAACATAAATGTAGACAAAATAGTGAGATGAGAGCAAAGAGATGCAGACAATACCGAGATGAGAGATTGTCTTTTTAAATGTATGAATTACCTTGTTACGTTTATTTGCATTTTAATTTGGGCTGATATTAGATGAACACCAATTGTTGTTTTCATGAATCTGGGACCTCTTGAGCCTTTTGATTCCCTACATGTTTACTTTGTCGCCCAAACACTGCCACTGATGATGGGCCAACCCAGCGGGTCTGGCAAGGAAGGCAAGGGTTCAACGTGCCACACAGTGGAGGTTCCTTCCCTGGTCCCAGGGGATGGTAACCGCACGCTTCCAAAAGCTCCCGCGAAATGGGACCCACGTGTGCGCGGCATCCGATTTACCAGCGGAGGGCTGGAGGAATCTATGGCGGGTCCTTTGATGTCCACTCGGGACGCGTGACTGCACACACCCACAGTTGGCACAGGCACACCGGGTGCCAAGAAAGGAAAAAAAAACATAAAACACACGCGCACACACACACACAATTCCCTTTGCAGAAACTTTCACGACAAAATCCATGGCTCCATTCTATGAAGAATGTACTGTAAAGTTTGGAATGAGACGTGCATTGCAGCAGATTTCAATGAAATTAAGTACAAAAACCGTAAGTAAATGTGCCCTAAATTTTTATTTAAAGCTTTCGTGACTGCAGTGATTCATATTATTGGTTCTTTCGGTAAAGTCACGTTGAAGAGAAACAATAAAATAATAAAATATATATAAACAATACAATTCTCACGACGTTTCGACTGCAACACAAGCAGTCATCATCAGGTGTGAAAACCAACGGCAAGAACATTTCTTTCAAATGTTCTTGCCGTTGTTTCCCTTCAACGTGACTTTACCGAAAGAACCAAGAATTTAAATGTGTCCTGTTTACTCAAATGAGTGCAGGGTGGTATATCATTTGCATTGGCGACTCTGAGCCAGCAGTAGAAATTATGCTTTCCTATTGGTGGGGGCCAGTATATCCATAGAATGAGCACGGTTCACCTTCTATTTAAGAGTGTTCATTTAATCACTCCAGAGGGATGACTGCCCGGGATTTGCATTGACAACCTAATGATTATAAGTCGAGTGCCCTGTCAAAGCACCGTTGGCATAAGAATCCTCCCTGGTCAGAGCAGCAGGTTGAAATACCACATTACCATCGCAGTCTTATTAAGCAGATATGGATTCCACGGTTGATCACGTTGTATATCTGTATGAACAGCCGAAAATGCTCTTCATTTAGGACTGTTAGCGATTGTGCTGATCATAGTGGTCGGCTTCTGGATTCGTTGGCAAATTTTAGATATAGATGGAGGTTGGGGTGGATGGTGGAGGGAGCGGATGGAGAATCAGAATTTTTAAAAAAATTAAACTGGAGGAATCCGATGAGCTATAAAGCTCTTTTTCACAGATGCTCAGTAGATCGAGGTTAGGTGAAGCAATGCTCAGGATGTTTCTCGTGAGGCAGGACGCTCATGGTGGCGTGGAGTAAGAGTTGGTGGTGTGGCTACACCGTGGGCCAGATCCCAGTGGGGCCAGGAAGCTTGACTTTATAAACGTGACCCAATAAAGAACCATGACCTCGCGTTGCCCTCTGAGATGATCACTTTACACAGAAACGTAAACACGCTTTAGAAATTTGCACACACAATTTCACACTCCAAATATACACATGAAAACACTTTAAATTCTTACAAGTGTTTTCATACTCGTACCTTTTTAGCTGTACTTTTGGAGAATAAAAACAGCTCTACATTTAAATAATTCCTGTACATGCTACAAACTGCAATGTTTTTCAATGTGTTGAAATTGGTAAATGTATTATACTGAGATGCATTTGCATTGATGGCGACACATGATCATTGCAGGTTCAATAAACATTTGTTACATCTTTTTGTGAATGAATGTCCCGTGGATAGACAGATCCGCATCAAAGGAATGTGGAATTTATACCACCGGCCTAGAATTGCTAACAAAAGTAAGCACCACCCAACACCCAACTGAGCAAACATGCACTTTGAGATTGAACTACAATTGCATTTGTAAATAAATGCGGTAAGTTTGACCAGTACAACAGTGAATATTTAATGAGATGGGGGAGGGGGGGACAATGTTAGACCACCCATCAACGCAGCTCCATTTCAAACAAAAGGTTCAACCATTCCGGCCCATATACCAAAATGCGCACCGACATTCCTAATTGTCAGTCTCGCTTGCGAAAGATAGCTTGTGACTAAGCCTGCATTCTGCACCCTACCGAGGTACCAGCATCCACGAGCTCTTTGGTTTTGCAAACATGAGCACGCCACACACAGGGCCACCGTGTCTGAAAACGTCTCGTGTTTCTGGGCCCTGCATGACATGGGTGGTATTCTGGTGACAGCTCCACTGTACTCTCACCCGAACACAACTGCAACACTTGCACCGTAGCAGAATTGGTGACCAAATTCGAAGATACAATTGTGACCCCGTGGATTTCGCTGCCATTTTCACAGGGCTGGATTTTTTTAAGTCCCTGCCAAGCAAATGAGGAAGTTTCACCGATAACTCAAGATTGCTAATATAGAAGAGCCCTGTCCAATACCTGTTGGATAGTCAAGAAACTCTGATGTTTCATTTTGAGACTTGTCCAAGCCAGTTATATGCTAAGAAACTTAACCCTAACATCAACAAAAATTAATAACCGTTTGAGTGCTATTACTAAATCTATTACAGTTAACACAGATCAATTATCTATGGTTCAACTAGTTAACAAGTAACCAATGTACATTGACCAAAGGTTTATTAACGTTACACCAATTACCAAAGGGTCAGGACTTATTTATAAACCTGCCTCAAAACATCCGACTGGCTAGGTTGTGCTTTGGTTAATCTGTGGTTCAAAATCAAGAGGTCATAAGTTTAAAACCCAGTCAGGAGGTCGCCATTCTTTCTTGGGTTGATAAGATATCACTTTGTTGGAAACCGACAATGGTCCCCATGTTAGAAATGTAGACTTTATACCACTGGCTAAAGACGAACATCACTGTGGCACCAGGCCAGGTTGTAATACAATGATAATAAAAGTCCTTTATTCAGGGAATCCTCACTTAGGCTCCAGGCTATTCTAGAGGAGAATCCTGCATTGAGATGTTTTGAACATTCCATATTGATTGACATCATGGTTGAGGTGACCATGTGACTCAGGGGTAAGATCACTGAGTCACCTGGCAGCTGCCCGTGATTGAACCATGTTCTTACTTTTATGAAGTTGATGGTTTCAGCCGAGTCACCATTAAGGCTTAAAATAATCCACCGTGTTACATTTTTACTTTTCACTTTATTGGGTTTGTTCTAGCTTCTGAGAATAGCAAATAAAATAGGATTTAAACATGATCAGCATGTGGCAAACACCTTAACAGCAAGGGCGCATGATAAATCGCAGTGTCCCGAGTGTAATACGAGGCAATTTGATGGGATGTCGTAGGCAGTGCGATGGCACCTTTTTCAGGCTGTTCTCTAACGCAGGCTGATGGAAATCTTTGCACGTTTCCCCCGGATGTTTACGTAACTAAGGACGTGACGCCGATAGTACAATTGGAATAAACTCGTGAATTTGTTTTAAAATAAAACATAGGCGGAGGTCAAGAAGTCAAAGGTAACAGCGGAGAAATGGCACCAAAAGCGGATGTGTACCGGTAGTTGGTGTCACACATACAGCCTTTGCTGAACAGTTCCTGAACGGCCTCTCACAAGCCGATGCCAGTGTACCGCTCTGCTTACTGGCTACAGAAACATAAAAAGTGACAGCATCACGCGGTAAAGTGGATAACATTATGGTGGTGGGTGGGGGGGTGGGCAGGCTTGGCGGTGGTGGGTGGAGGTGCTGATAGCAGGGCTGCAGGCTTGGAAGCTGCCCTCAGGTGTCACAATACCAGCTGAATGAAACACTGTTTCAACTGTTGTGTGCCAGTCATGGTGGCGCATGCCTGTAATCCAAAACGTTACATGTGGGGCTTGTGGGTCACAAGAGGATCGCCGTGTGAGAAAGACACCCACCTGGAGAACAGTATCGTAACAATAAAAAAAACATGATGGTGATATAAAATGGTGGTTTTGAGTGATGCCCCCTTGAGTGCGTGGTTCTTCTCTGTGTAGCCTGGTATCCATCCACCAAATAAAAAAAAATACACATCAGAAACATGGACTTTGAAAAAAAAAAGGAAGAAAGGAAAATGAGTGTAGCAGAAATTCGGTTTTTATGAATTATTGTTTGGAGAAAAAACTCAAAGGGACTGAGGAAATTGTAGAAAAAAATAAGGAAGAGCATGATTGAAATGTAATGAACACATCAAAATAATGGGAAACGGTAGGTTGCCAAAATAGGTTGTCAATTGGAAATACATGGGAAAAGAACGAGGGGCCATTAAAGAAAAAGATAGAGTGAAATGTTAAGAAAGGATATGGAAGAGGTGGCCTGGTGGCTCAGAGGTCAGAGCGGTGAGCCGGCACCACGGAGACACTGGGTTTGATCCAAGCTTCAGCTGCCTTTAATTAAACATGGCTCTCAAGCGTAGTGAGTTGATGGTCTCAACCCGGTCACCAATGACTGATCGCAAAAAATCCCATAACATTACATTTACGCACTTCATTTGGCAAAATTACAGCTCTGTGAATTAAAATATTTGTCTGAAGGTCACGTGCCAAACAGTGCTCTCGTATGGGGCAGCGAGTGTGACGGTCAAGCCGTCTATTTTGTGGACTATGTCACTTGAAGGGATCTCGGAGGTAGATGCGTGCCCCAAAATCTAAGGATTCTTATAGCACGAAGGCATGCACTGCTATGCAAGATAAACGATTGGATACATTGTCTTTATGGCACGATGGCGATAGCGCTATCGGGACAAAATTGGGGGGAAATTATTAGATTTTTTTTTATTTTGCAGAAGGACGCGATAGAGAAACGTAGTTGAGAGTGACGGAGGAAGAGGGGAGATGAGAGGATAACAGAATGTGGAGAAGCTTTGTACAATCACCGACCTAGCTACACACTGCAGCGACGCATGATGATGATAATAATAGGATGTACAAATATCCTTCCTTAAAAAGTATTTTGAAAACATCCTAATTCCACATATGTAATGTAGATTTGTTGAATTAATTCTCCCAGTGCCAGAATATCTGAATCTCAATTCACATTGATTCCAGAATCTAATTGTCAACTCTCACCTACTTACCTTACTACATCTCTCTTTTTTGCTCACCTCTTTGCAATAAAAACCTAGGTCTCTACTTGGAAACTGCGATTAATATATATAACATTTAAGCACCCGTTAATAAAAACAATTTTATTATTATTTTTATACAGGAAAACCACGCTGAGTCCAAGGACTCATTTTTTAGGAAGGTCCTGCATCAGATGCTTATTTTTGAGTGCTGATACATGCCAGGTGAAAACCGGAGCACACGGAGAGAGAACCCACGTGCATGAGGGGGAAATACTCTAGCCACCGTACAAATGGAAAAAGATGGCAATCCATCCACTTGCTAGACCGCCTTCTCCTGGCCAGCGAGGATATTGCACCTCGACAACCCACGGCATGGTTGTTTCACCACGTGTGTGCAATCCACCAGCCCTCGTCTCCACAGCACTGGACAAACAGGCGTGCGCCACCACTGAAAGTGTACAATAACAACAACAACCGCTATTCACCACGGCGCTTGTGCCAGGCTATGTGCACGTTAAGCCCGCTGGCAGGAGGCCACGGGACAGAACCAGGTGCCATTGGTTCACTGACTGAGATGCCTGGCCTATGCACCACCTGTGCCCCCTACTTTGCCAACTTGTTGTGTACAATGGGCAGTGTCACAAACGCGAGCTCTTCACCTCCCCGCTCATGTTTAGGACGATCCCAGCCGACAGTTCTTCTGGCACGTGTTGGTTCATGAACTATCTCCTGTGAATTGGCCGCCCACAGTGAATGTGGCTCCTTACCAACCACAGACAAGGCTTCTGCTGTGCTATGGTCACTGCATTTATTATTACACTGCTGGACGAACGACACTGACAATCATTGATTGCAATTAGGGTTAGGGTCTCTATGCAGGCATAAAGTAAAGCAAAAGTTTTAAAAAAATGTGTATGCCCAGTCAGCTGAGCATTGGCCGGTACTCATAATCAACAGTAGTTTTAGCCAGTGGTGGAAGTTCCGCATTTCTATGGTAGAGACCAAACTCCCCCTTGGGGAAAGCACGGTCGTATTTAACATTAAACCTTCCGATTGTGTCAAATAATTATACCTATAAAGCAAAGTTGACTCAATGTCTGAGTTATAAAGGTCTACTATGATATATCTTATTTAACTTTTAAAACATATAAATGATAGACAATTAAAAGAGGAAATCATTGCATTGACAGCGAAGGTCAAAATGAGGACAGTATCAGACTAGCGTTATTGTTCTCACTAGAACATTTACAAATGCAATACGGCGCCGTCATTCGTAACGTTAAATCAACGTGCAGTAACAAGCCTCATGCCAGTTTGAAGAACGTAATCATGAATTGAATCAATCGGACCGTTGTGTGACTTTGAATGACTGAATATGGTGATTTAAAGACGTAAATAAATCAGTAATCACAGCCTGATTGGACTGTATAATGGATCCGCAATGAGACACTGATTACTTTTCACAAATAACGCTCCCGGCCAGCACTCCCAGTCTGTGCGGCCGAACAGGAGAGTCTCTGTCCCGCGACTTGTGGCGTTGCAGCGAGCGTTGGCGTGCGACGTTCTCTATTCGTGTGTCGGAGGATGCGGTGGGGGAGGGGTCAGAGCACCGCTGTGTCTGCGGCGTGTGTGTGTGTGGGAGGCTTGCGAGCTTCATCAAAGGACTTCTCGCCAGGAAGCGCGGCTCTGTCAGCATCCAGAGTCAGGTAACGGACACAACTCCCCCACCGTGCAGGTGGTGGCGTCTCATCGGCGGCTCCCCACCCCCCTCCAGCCCTCCCCGTACGTGGTGTGACGCCCAAGTCTCTCCGTGCTATCAGCGGAGCGTGCTGTTGTCAATGGGAGTGGTGCAGGGTACGGCGGGGGGGGGGTGGTGTCAGGGCCGGATTAAGATTTTGTAGACACCCTGGGCTACAGGTACTGTAAAGGCCCCCAGTCATATTTTCAAAAGGAAAACAACAAAAAAAGAAAAGTTATTTTTACAAGGCTAGCAAGAAATAACATTCAGCATTCACAAATGAAATAACTTTTCACTTAAATCCCTGGAGGTCCTCCAGCTGGTGGAGGCCACTGAGCTGTAACCCCTAAAGTCCATGCCTTTATCCGGCCCTGGGGGGGGGGGGGGGCAGGAGGCGGTAGCGTAGTGGGTTAGCGCTAGGGCTGTTCAATAATGTGGGAGCCAGAGGACATCCCTGTCGCACCCCAAGGTGTACAGGGAATGGCTCTGACTCCCGGCCACGTAGTTTTACCTGGGCCCGCTCACCATCATGAAGGTCCTTAATGATCGTGAGCAGAGGGTCAAGGGACTCCAAAAGCACGAAGAACAACCCAGAGCCCAAGACTACTGATGGTGTCATAGTACAGACACACACACAGACACACACACAGACACATACACAGCGCGCTAACCACTACACTACAATGCGTTACGCTTCCACATGCGCGGGTCACGTGACAGATTTGACGTCACAGCTCACTTGCCGTGCAAAATATATAAATGCATTATTGAGCTCCCCCCCCAATAAAAGTGTATTTTTATAATTTTTCCATGGTGTACAGTCTGGAAAGTACCCACATGGCAAATTTCCAGTTTATTGCATGTCGGGAAGTAGGCTAAATATTTTGAACAGACACACATATTCACAACTTTGCCTTATATATATGGAGATAACGCCATACAGTGTTACGGACAGTGTCTGTGGGGGTTTGTGTGTGTTCTGCCCGTACTATACTACTGTCAACGCCGCCCCTTTGAATGTTTTATTCAGCCTTAAATGAGCACCTGGTGTAGAGTGTGTTTACATCGGCACTTGGGAGACAAAGGTGGCCAGGAGTGGTTCTGACCATACCATCCTTGTGTGCCACGCCATAGTTATAGAGTAGTAAGGTCTTTATCAGTTTGCACGGTAAGGGGGTACAGCTAGTGGTGCATCTGCCGGTCATCTCAGTCAGCCAACCCATGGGACCTGCTGGGTCTGTCCCGAGACCTCCTGTCGGCGAGACTTCGACACTCCACGTGGCCTCAAAGTGCACCTGGCCTGGCACAGGTGCCGTGGTGACGTCACTGCCACTTCGTGGCGAATAGATATTTGTGTATGTGGCCGTGAATTGCATACTTAGTAACGTGACTTTACCAACATTCTAACGAAGAACGAGGCACTTGTTAACTTTGTTGGGCTTTTTTTCCTTTACTTTACGATCATTGGATATATTGAGGATGCAGAAGCGTAATACGAGTAGGATATTGGTCGATCTAATAACAGTCAATCCATGTTTGGCGAAATAAGAAGCATGCCAGGAATGTGGTCAAATTTAAACCCAAATATCAGCCAATACAGGCACGTCAGAAACGTCGTTCACAGTGATCGTGGTGACGTTTTTCACTAAAAGTAATTGTATTTTGTGATTGTTTGATATTACGTATTTTTGTTTGGTACTCGGAGATGATTGTGGTGATTGTTCAACCCCCGAGCACATTTTCCATATGGGCGCTACTTGGTGGTAAGTCAGCACTGGTCGTCCTATATACAGAAAGATCTAGACCCTGTCAGAGGAATGTGGAGTCTCCACCATTGACTGAGGACCTCGCTGAAGGTAACCATCACTCGACGCTCAGCAGGGCACACGGAACCTGTAAATACATCGTTTGAACGGATTTATTTGTTTTATTTTTTCAGATGTCTTTTGAAAAGCATTTTAAAAAACCATAATAGAGGTTTTTTTTGGCTTAGATCGCGTAAATATATCAATGTGTCGTTAAAACCCGCCACCACCCGACACAGCCAACTAGTAAGGGTTGTCACGTAAACAGAACGCGCCGATTCGTTTCTAGTACAGCACACAGGTGTGTTGGAGAGCCAAGCCACAAAATTTACAAACTGAGTACGACGTTTCGCCAGTAATTACAACTAGCTTAATCAGGCGACAGCCAGATTTGTGGAGAAGTCTAACTGTTTCGTTCCTTATATGTAATTACTGGCGAAACGTCGTACTCAGATTGTAAATGTTGTGGCTTGGCGCTCCAACACACCGGTGTGCTGTACTAGTGACGAATTGGCACGTTCTGTTTACGTGATAACCCTTACTAGTTGGCTGTGTCGGGTGGTGGCGGGTTTTAACGACACATTTAAATATTTACGCGATCTAACCCAAAAAAAACTCTATTATGGATGATATTGGTCGCAAAAGCCTTCTCCGTGTTAAACATTTTAATGAAGGCAAGATTCAAACAAAACAACAGATACCTGAACTTCTTTTATCGTCTGTCTTTTAACTTTTATTATTTTTGAAATGAGACTGCAACTGATTACCATTTGTGAGTAGGATGACCACATAATACGCCCAAAGACTTTTAAAACTGTAAATAAATGCCATTGCCATGTGTTGTATGGCATATTTGATCATATTTTAAGGTGACCGATGTTAATTCCCTTGAAAGAATAGAACTTTAATAATAACAACACTTCTAAAAAAATCTATTTTGAAGATTTCTGTGTTTGCATTTTGCTGTATTTTTCATTGCCAGGGGATTTATGCTGTCTTCATGTCACAAACTTGAGACTTAGCACAAGCAGATGTGGAGGCACTGGCAATTGAACAGAGCAATGCAGACATTGTTTATATCAGCTGCCCATATGCGTTTGTAAATGGCTTAACCATCACTCAAAATAATGCAAACCCCGCACGCTGTGAACATCTGGAATAAAAGCAGTAACAACTGTTCGCAGTAGTTTCATATGACTGCACGAGCCATGATTTAGAATTAGCCCCATGTGTTCGTATAATTTACAAGCAGTGCTGAGGAGTAATGTGTAACAGGTACCATGTGATTGTAATCAGATTATGAAATACCGAAACTGGGAAATCTGCTGTTACTCCATTCTTTCGGATGTAATCAAATTACTCAACTTGTACAGTTGGATTACATGTTATGATTACTCTTATTTTAAATATTAGAAAACCAATTAACAAAAAACTATTCAAATGGATGAAGGAAATTGCACAGTCGGCAATCTGAGTTGTTGGGAAGACAGTAGCAGCAGACTCTGCATTCAGATTGCACAAGATAACCAACACCGGTGACGTGGTAGTATGTCCCTTGTTTCATAACAACACAATGTGTAAAATTTTGATTTAAAGCTTTCGTGACTGCAGGGATTCATATTCTTGGTTCTTTCGGTAAAGTCACGTAGAAGGGAAACAATAAAATAAAAAATATATAAAACAATACAATTATCACGACGTTTCGACTGCAACACAAGCAATCATCATCAGGTGTGAAAACCACAGCAAGAAAAATTGAAAAAAGTGGCGGTTTTTTAACGTTAGCACCACGGAGAGCGATTTGGCAGTTATTCAGATGGACGAGTCCATCTATGTTCGGAAAAGAGGAGGGGGGGAGACGAAAATAATGGATGCGGTCTGAAAGCCACCGTAAGCGTGAACAATCAATTAAGACCCGAAATGGTTTATCAAATCCTTCCAATGATTGCTAAGCCAGAATCCATCTTCTCGGTTGAAATTGTCTCTGTGTTTGTATATGTGGATAGCCTCATGAACGAATCTCTCATGGTAGCCAGATGACTTGCAAAGAACCTCTGTCTTGGAGAAGTCAATGTCATATGAGCCTACTGAATTATAACAGTGATCTGCCACGGCCGAGGTGTTGGTCCTACCGTGTTTTAGGTCTGCTTTGTGTTCATGAATGCGGTCCAAGACATGTCGTTTGGTTTCTCCATTGTAACTACTACCACAGAGGCAACTTAGTTTGTAGACACCAGGGTACTGTATGTCCGGAATCACATCTTTTACAGACTGAACCAGATCACGGATTTTATGTAATGTGTTGAATCGGACCTGGATCTTGTGTTTATTCAAGATTTTGGAGATCTTTTTTGTGATCCCCGCAATGTAGGGTAAAGTGATGGTTTTGAAAGGCTCCTCAAGAGAGTCCTTCTTCATGGTTGGAGTGATAGCTTTGCGGATTGTATAGTCGGAGTAACCATTAGCCTTAAGAGCTTGGTGTACCTGCTTGAGTTCACTGCCTGTGTTCCTGGTCGGATATGCATTGGGCTCTATGGTGCAGAGTCTTGATGAGGGAATTCTTCTGGGATGGATGGTGGTGGGAAATCGGTTTCAGGTAAGCATCCGTATGGGTAGCTTTCCTGTAGACAGAGTGGCTCATTGAACCATCAGGTCTCTTTTTTATTAGGACATCCAAAAAAGGTAGCTTGCCATCTTTTTCGACTTCCATGGTAAATCTGATGGCTGGGTGTATGGAATTGATGTGGTCGAGGAATTGGTCTAGAGCAGGCCGATTCGTCACAATGTGTGTTTAATACGAAGGAATTTGTCAAAAAGAAAATGTACAAAAATCTGGTAACATTCTATTAGATAAAAAATAATTACCAATAACGCGATTAATTTGCGTTACTTTTACAACGTCAAGTTAACAGTAATTCGATTGCTTTGAAAAGTAACCCTCCAAACACTGCACATAAACGACATCGTCGTCCACTAAGGTACATATGCTTACACTGTTTAGTTGATCCTATTTTCCTGCCATCAACTAACAGTATTAAATGCAAATTGTTTATTTGCACAAACCACCTACATGTTTAGCAAATGTGTGCTATTTAAACCCACTAACAACGCTGAAGGTTATTGCACTCTGTTCTTGAACGAAAAAAAACACGTGATGCCCACA